ACTACAAATTGTTAGGAGTCTCTGAAACGTCGAAATCGGAATTTCAGCGATTTTTATTGTTTAGTGTTTTTGCAACGAATCAGAAATGCATGGAAAGTGTTTGAAGTTTTGACTTAACAAAGCTATCAGTTCCATAAATCAATGTATGTGACTGTAACCAAGTATACATATCCCTTACGAGATTTAGAATATATCGTACAAACGTCAATTTTAACATACAGCTCTTTTCAGAAAGGACCCCCTACTTATTTTATGAACGGGTTGAGTTAGCAATCTGCAATTTGGGATAACTCTTTTAACGTGAAAATAACAGTTGTGGATTCAAAGATGGCGGCTGGGCACCTACTTCTAGCATTTTTTTTAAGGGAATGAGGGGTCGTTTGATACCTTATTTTGATGATTCTTAAGTATTTTATAGCCCCAGAATATAAAATTTATATCTTCCAAACTGGTGGGCTGGGAACCTCTTAAAGTTGTGCGTTTTTGTCTATTGAATCGCCAATAACTCAACAACTTATCATCAAAACGTTGTTGATTTTAACAATATTTTAATATGGAATGATTCGTATTTCATTACATATCCGGATAGACCTTTCCAAAATGATGTAACATACACGTTATGCGTTAAACGATTTAATATAGCGTTTTGATGATTGGTTGTTGAGTTATAAGCGACCAATACGCTCAACTTTGATACCCTGCCAGTTCGCCATTTCAAATATAGTGATTTTATATTTTCAGGTTATAAAGTATTCAAAGTGAGGGACCACACTTCGCATTCCATATAAAAAATGTTCAAAAATGTCACCCGGCCGTCATCGTGACAAAGTGCCTCTTTTACGCTGAAATATAGTATCAATGTATCTATTTCATTGCCCCGAAATTCACCGTGAAAATTTGACATGTTCAATAAATAAGTAGGGGAGGACCTTTTTGAGAAGCACTGTATATACAAACTTTTATGTATCTAGGTTTATGTTTGTACGAGATGAGATGTATGTTTGTAACGTTTTCAAGGTGTGTTTATATTAGCAATGTCAATGTTAGTACGACTACAGTCATTACAAACCAGGTGCAGTGAAAGGGTGTGACCACCTTAGGCAATAATAAAAATGCGTTTTTTGTGTATACAGTTGCGTTAGCGTTAATTCTACCAATCCTAGTATATAACCAAAATGTGTGTTTTAGAATACCATGCATCCAAAAAGAATATTCAAAGTTGTCTCACATATTTTTTGAAACGAGAAGTACCAAACATGTTTTCCACGTGACGAGATACATGTTCGCTTTTCACGCCCTATCCTCAGAATGTGATCTTACTTCTGCTATGGAGGTTAGGCTTTCATCAGATTTGACGAAAATAACCTCTATTCTCCGACATGGATAGTTTGAGTTGACATATACGGTCACATTCTATCGACATCCAGAACAGAAATCGAGTTGTATTTTCTGGTTTTTTCGGCGTAAATAAACGGAAAACTCTAATAAGTTCTCTAACAATATACGAATTATTAATACGTATTTTCCAAACACATGAGGCAAAAAACTAGATAAACTGTATCATTCTTGGAAGATGGGGTTTAACAACTAAATCGGTCATTTCAAAAACCAAATATGCCAAATTTTTTCAAAGTGTTTTTTTTGCTTGAAATGCTTCCTTAAAAGTAGATGCGTATTTTAGGTGTAATCCACTTACACTATGCGGGAAGTAATATTCAGGCATAAAACCGTAAGACGTGTGCTCTTGTCGCTCGACATTAGTAAAGCTTCTGGTCCAGACTTGATTCTTGCCGTTGTATTGAAGATGTATGCAGCCGAGCTTGCTCCAGTTCTTTCACATCTCTTCCAGATATCTTAAGAACGACCCTTATAACTACAGGCCGTCTGTTATAAGAGAGGACCTCCTAGCTTACATCACGCAATTGTGGAGTAAACTCATTCAGTTTTATGGTGTTGATATCACGAAAGCGTTCGATCAGCTGTGGTCCGCTGCCCTCTTATGCAAACTTCTATCCTATTGCCCTTCCAGAAAAGCTTTGCAGATGGACGGCTGACTTTCTCTCTGGTCGCATGATATCCGTCGTAATTGACGGGTTCACCTCGTCATCCCGCAACGTCAACGCAGCTGTTTCCCAGGGATCGGTCTTCGCTCCGACACTGTTACTCTTGCATATCAACAACCTCGTTTTCTGAACGATCAACCCAACCCAAAGTTTTGCTGATGACAGCACTCTACATGCAGGAATCCAGAGGACAAGCCGATCTCTAATGGTGAGCTGGGAAAAAGAAAACTAGCGGCGACTTCCTCACTGACGAGAGACCTGGAGGTTATCACTGCTTGGAGACGCAACAATCTTGTACAGTTAACGCTTCCAAAACACAATACTGTACCTTGACGAACAAAAAGAGTCCTAGCGCTGATCTGGTTTCGATGGCTGGCCGAGTTCTGCCAAAGAGCCGTCCATTTCGGCTGGTCGGAGTCCAGATCACCGAGGACTTGATCTGGCACGAACACATCTCGTCAATAGCGGCAGCTGCTAGGAAAAAGCTAGGCTGTTTGTATAAGGTTAAGAAATACTTTTCTCCATATGACCTCCTCACTCTATACAAGGCCCCGACTACATTATTCACTCGATGCTGTTCAGAGGAGGGCTGTCCGACTGTTCGATGACTCTTCTCTAACGGACAGTCTCGGGACCCTTTTGCACCATCGGGCAGTCGGCGATCTAGCGCCTGCATCGATGTAAAAAAGTAGATAAATTCAAATAATATTGCCCAATATACATTGATTGCAAAAACAGCATAACTCGCTAGACTTATGCACTAGTGGACGTCTTTTGAAATTACTAACTAAAAAAATAAGGTTACGGGTGAATACATGATCCACCTTGCTTTTTCCCTTTTACTCGAACTCAGTTGTTTAAGAAATTTCTTGTTTCCTAATCAATGCATTCTGTATTGTATTGCTGAGAAAGTCATTTAAATACACTTTAAATATTTCAAATAAATGCTCGTATAAATTATGGTATCCTAATAACTAGTTTCCTTAAGGGACCATCTCCTTAATTCAGCAGTACGCTAGATCATTTCTTCGAATAACGACTGTTTGCACAGCTCTCCAACTCTTGTCAATTTCTAAGATTTACAGGTGTTACTTCTAGAGCTTTCTGGAATATTTCTTTATTTGAGATTTAGTATTAAAACATCGCTGTGCCACCATTCATAATTCATTCATTCTCTGACCGTTCTAAGTTATCATTCTGTACTACAACAATTGTACTGTGTCGACCGAAGTCTTATAATAATAAAAAAGCTACTTTACTGGAAACTAACTTTTATTCATACATACAACACCAATCTTAATTGTTTTGTTAAAGAGATACATTTTGCTGTCTGGCAGTCAAATAAAAGCATGTAGGTTCTTCTAATAAGTTTATGTAGTCTTTCACGATGACAGGTTCATGGTTTAAATGTAAAACTGGAAATTCGATTTTTCCAGGATGATCGCTTTGCCCGGGTTTTTCCTAATTCCCTGAACGGCTGGTAGGTATTCAATTTTTTTATTAACGTTATAATTTTTTTATATGAATGTGGCAAAATTTCAAATCGTTCAGAGCAAAGTTGACGAAGGTACTGGTATTTAAGTGTACGTTGCTCTAAGCTGATTCTCTATACCTTCTCTTGGTAAGAATTGATCTTGTTATACATATTGGTGTACGCCGTACCGAGCAGATGTATGTAAAACTTTAAAGCGTTTTTCTGAAACATGTGATTTTTGAAACTGGTGTATGCTGTAACTCAAAATCTGATGCACCAAGTTTTTCGAAATTTCTCATGCTGACTCAGCACATAAATCTCCAGGAAATCACGTCAATTTTTGGCTTTTCAATTATTTTTGTTTTCATAACAAACTAGTGTTTGGTTACCACTTTGATTTTTTTAGATTTCGATGATCCAGTAAGGAGTGAAAACGTACACCGCAAAACTATTTGTTTGATGCCTCCGGAGATTTCACTACGAAAATCTAACGGAATGTATGGTTTCTAATTTAATAAATCAGTGTTACTTGTATCGACAAAAAAATCACGGAATTAAACCTACCGCCTCCTTCCTTTAAGTATTAGACTATGCAAAATTAGTAAAACATGTGGCATATTAACAAGTTGATATTCAAGTGTAATTTTCAATAACAAATAATAGAATAACATATGATTAATATGACTCTTTGCTTAAGTTATATACCACTAACACTATTTCTTGCTAAAACGATATACGTCCAGACCAGTTTTTCGGGCTTTCTCCATTATTATTATTAGTGATGAACTGGAATTTCAGTTTTTGAATCTCAAATACTGTATTAGCCCAAAAAAGTTCTTTAAAACCGGTTTATTTATTAGTCAATCTCAATTATCTGCTGAAAAATTCAAATTGTGTGACTTATGAGGTTTTTGAAATGATGAAATGGGTAGGGAGTTCTCTATTGTTACAAATACAGTGCTTTTCAAAACCCCCCCCCTTGTTTTTTTACGAGTCTAGTTAGCAAGCTGAAATGCAGGAGGATAAAATTTTAAACATGAATACTGTAACTGTAAACTTGAAAGATTGTTATTTTTTTTTTAAATAGAGTGTTGCATATTTTATTATATATTGAGATACACCGTTCCAAGAAAAGAAGATTGGTATTGCTTACTAGCGTTTTGATGATTGGTTGTTGAGTTATAAGCCACTCAATTTACAAAAATTCTCAACTTTGACAGTCTGCCAGTTCGCCAAAATAGTGCTTTTATATGCTAGGATTATGAAGTACCCATAAGGAGCTTCATACTAAGAAGTATCACGCGACCCAAGAAGGAAATTTTCGTCTGCCACTTTTAGGCCAGATGCATCCATTTCATCATCCCGAACTTGACGCGTTCAAAAAATAAATAGGAGGGACCTTTTTGCAAAGCACTATATATTAATTTAGACAAGTTTCATTCGATATTATTTTCCTTTTTCAGAAATAACGATATGGGGTTGGGAACGTGACGCTAATCTAGGGAGAGCAAGCCAACCACAACAATGCCTACGGTGGTGTCAAAGTTACTGGAACGTGGCGAGAAAACCATCAATGGCCATAGAACTGTCATTTCAGGGGCCATCATTGGGGCAGCCCTCGTCACATATGCTTACAAGGTAAAGAGATTTATTTATGCACTCATACCATGTCGCCCGCAGAATCCGTGTGGACCTTAAAATTTGTATATTTAGCAGGATTCTGTGCACAATTTTGAGGTTTTATAGGAGCTGCCTCCTCCCTGGGAAAATTTGCTACCATCCGCTTTTCAAAAAGATTATCCCACACCACATTCATCACTGGTAATAAAAATTTTCGGATGTTCGCGCCTACCTTACCATTCCAGTCTCCAATAAGTTGTGTATAAATATGAAGAAATTCATGATATCAAAAATTCACAGTGTATACAAGAATGACGTTATGCGTAAAGCATTCAGGAAGTTATGCAGAACCATGAATGAACGTCACACCACGTGTCTTCAAGAATAACTTTAAAATAGACATTTTTCAAAATATGCTTGCAAGATTACACAGGGAGCCATGAGTAGCATTCTAGTAGAACACAAAATAATAAAATATGTACGTTGAACTGAAAAATATGCCAAGGGCGGAGGCCCAAAAATGGCGCAACTGGAAATTGGGTTTTCTAATAGTGGTACTGGATGTCAGAATTTATAGAAGTGCCTGTAATCATAATATGTTCAAGGCAATGAATTCGATCATTTTGTTCCTGAGATAATCCCTAAAACTCCATTATCACCTGAAATCTTATAAAAGTGTATAAAAACTGACCAGATGAAACTTAAGGGGCATTAAAACGTAACCGCAAAATCTGAACTAGAGTTGATGCTATACACAATGAGCTGAACAGCAGAAGCCATAGATGCAGTTCGACATCGGTTTTTACTTAGCTGTCAGATTTGATTGTTGATTGATGTCGAAGCTATTCTACTATAGTCAACGCCAAACAAAGTGGCGTGCACGTCATCACGATAAAAATTCCCCGACCTAATGCCTAGGTTTCTATCACAAACAATTGCTCTATTGCAGTTTCATATTAATGTGATATATAAATTGTAAAATGGTCATTACTCTCTTATTATGGTTAATAGTCATATAAACATTGTTATTAAAACATCACATAACTTGCTTTCTGATAAATTTAGACGCATTATGCGAAATAAAATGTTTTGCAAACGCTCCAATCACTTATCGACATGTAAACGCACTAAACCGATTTCGCAGCGTTGACACATTGTCACCTTGAAACTTATTTAAACTGGGAACTGACATTTGTATTAATTTTGACACTGAATCAATTTGTGGCATTTCAAATCTTTATAAATCCTTTGGCCCCGCATACTGTAAATCAACAACTGTTTGTTTCAAAACAAAATTATTCATTTTACGAGTAGATAAAGGCAATGTTGATATATAAAGATGCCCAAACAGTTAAATAGTCGGTGTAATGAACTCGTGGCCTCGTTAAAGCATTACTTTGAGCAAGAAAGGGACAACAACGGGCCTTTGTTGCCTTTAAATGCTGTTCAAGAGGTAGGTTACTAATAATTATATGTTATGTAATGTATATTAATAATAGTGAAATTTTATTTCATTTTTTGTAGCGTGTTGCTGCTGCTTTAAAAATTAGTTTAAGGACAGTTAGTCGTATTTCCGAGGGTGTGAAAAGTGATGCAAATTTAGAATCGCCCAAGAAAAAGCGGAGTTATATTAAACGTGTAACCAACACAGTGACATTGGATACAAGTGCCATTCGAGAAGTGATCTATAATATGTATCACAAAAGTAAGATCTTATTATAATAACTTATCAGAAATTTGCATTAATTTGTTAACTAAATTATAATTTCATATTACACATGGTTTCAGAAGAACAAGTTACGATACAAACTTTATGGTCTCGATTATGAGATAGGGCATTATTTGATGGTAGTGCCACGTCTTTGAGGCGGTTGCTTAGAGATCTTGGATTTAAGTGGCTTAAGGACAATCCGCGACGAGGGCTCATGGAACTACCAAGTATAGCTTTGCAAAGGGTGGAATTTCTAAGGCAATACAATCAAGCCAAGGTTGAGGCCTTATACCAGTTTGTCTTCCTCGATGAAACTTGGATATTTCAAAATGGGACCATAGGTCGCTCTTGGCAAAATGGAAACCAAAAAAGCGTGAAAGCTATTAAAACAGATGGTAAAAGGTATGTACTTTTACACAATTTGCACTATAAAATTTAAAACTAATATATTTTAGATACATTATATTACATGCTGGAAATGAAAATGGGTTTATTGAGGGTAGTGAAGCGATATTTTCTTCGAAAACAAAATTGAGCGATTACCATGGAGAGATGAACCAGGACAATTTTTTGAAATGGTTTCAACATCAGTTATTAGAAAAATTGGAGAGTCCATCTATGATTATACTGGATAACGCCCCTTATCACAGCATGATATTGAACAAAGTGCCCAACAATGCATGGACAAAAAAAAATATCCAAGACTGGTTGACAAATCAAAACATACCATTTTTAAACACAATGTTTAAAACAGAGCTATTGAGTATTGTTGCTCGGTACATAATGCTTCTTAATTATATATATTTTGGTCGACAGTTTATATTTCTTTTGTTTATTCCTATTCTTAAAATAACTGCTTTTTTAGAAACAAACCACCTAAAATATACGTGATTGATGAATTGGCGGAACAACATGGGCACAAAGTTCTTCGTCTGCCTCCTTACCATTGTATATTTAACCCTATTGAGTTAATTTGGGGCATAGCAAAAGGTTACTATAACAGACATATTGGTAGAGATGGTAACAGTGAAAAAGACTGTTTGGATATGTGGAACGAGGCTCTACAAACGGTTACCCCAGACATGTGGAAAAATAGTGTTCGACATACTGAGCAAGAAATTTTTAAATGGTATGAAAGAGAACGAATTTTTGATCGACCAGACATCGAACCGTTAATAATCAACTTTGAGAGTGATGAAGATTCAGATTCAGACAGCGCTGAAGAAAGAAACTCCGACTAACTTTATTGTACAGAAAAAGCTTACACCAGTAGCTTACCTAATTTTAGAATGCATTTTTCTGTATGAATTCTGTAAAATAAATACCATGCATAAAATTTGGAGGACCCCATTTGGATTTTTATTCAGTACCTTTAAGCTATCAATTAAATATGGTAGTTTCATAGTGTCATCTGATCAATAATTGTCATACTTAATGATTATGCAAGTACAGATCTATAATTTTATTATACTATTATTTTTGTTCTCATTTGAGGTTAATATTGCTTGTAAACCTAGATATGTAAATAATAAATTTTATTATTTTACAAAAAGTTTGGCAACGTAAAATTTTCAACACACCCACCTTGATGACGTGCACGCCACTTTGTTTGGCGTTGACTATACTACTCATTGTTGCTTCTCAAGAAGGTCCGGAGGATCTTAGCCTTTATGTCATAGTCACAGTGATGTCAGTGTCTGTCATTAGTCTCTCAGATCTGGTGGCCCAGAAACCAGATAAGTTGTAGGGGAAAGGGGAGAGGAAGAAAGAATGGAATGAAGTAAGCGCGAGAAAAGAAAGAAAAGGAATTGTTCAATGTAAATATTTCAGGTGAGATACATCTAGGGACATTGTACTATATAATTTAATTTTTACTTGTCCTGAACTACATTTTAGGTGTTTGGTTTTTAAAACTATATTTTTTTATGTGTAAACACACAATTTGATTTTGCTCACAGTACGAGTCGCGGCCTGGAATATTGGCGTATCTCCGGTGCTATGTAATCCACTGCTTCACGCAACAAAGGGTTGTTCCCTAATCCCTAAAGAAGCGGATGTCAAGATCTCTATGGTTATTAGTTACTATTCTGAGTGTTCTACTCTATACAACTTGTAGTTTAACCTAAAAAGCTTACCAAGCCGCACATGCGTAGGTTATTGCAGGTGTGATGATTTTGTATATCCGAACCTTATTGATTAAACTCAATTTTGAGGTTCTACACAAATAAAGGAGAACTGCGTGCCACACCTAGTCAAAGGCCTTGGCAACATCCAGATAAAGGATTCTCGTGCTCTTGTCAAGGGTAAATCCGCTGGCTTTGCGCTCCACCAGCCTGACTGCCTATAGCTCCGTACTATGCTCGGACCGAAAACCGAATTGAATGTCAGAAATCACTTGGAGATCTGACGAAAACTTCTCAAGGTGACCATAAATCACCTATTCGGCGATCTTAGAAGGAGCAAACAGTAGACTAATGGGAAATATTGAACCTACCTTCTTTGGGATCATGATGACTTCAACGACCTTCCACGGTTCTGGGAAGTATTGGGTCCTGGGCATTGAGTTAATTATTGTTATCAGATATGTCACTGCCTTTAACGACAGTAGCTTAAGCGCCTTGTTGGTGATCTGATCTTCTCCAGGTACCTTGCACCTCTTAAGATCATCAGTATGACCTTTAAGCTCTGATGGTGTGCAATGCGAAATCACTCATCGGTGTGCTATGTAGAGTTCCTATTGAAGAATCTTCCGAAGGGGATCCACCAGCTCCAGCAATGCTGCCACTCGCTTCATTAACAGCAAAGTACCTCCTAACAGATCAATGTCTCCTTCCTCGCCGAAATTGTGCCTACAGGGCCTTGGATATACGGAAGTTTGCCCCGTTTCGCTACTTTCCAAAGAGGAGTAGCGTTGTCAAGCAATAAAACAAGAAAGTTCATTTCTTTCTTTGTGAAAAACTTTCGTAGTTCTACGGATGTCATCAGGATGACAACAATATTTTGTCGGCTTCATTGCAGCTCTTTTGTCAGAAATTTTTTGACGAATATCCACAGGGAGGAAAGGTATGCCAGATCCTGTTCACTCTGCTTGTGCGGCATCTATATCATTTTCATTAACTATAATCGGGATATTAGGAAACTCGGCCAAGAGCGACTTGTACAGTTCCCAATCGACGCGTTTCCTAGGTACAGGCTCCCCCGTCCAAGGTATCCTCAGTGCCCACCCCAAGAATAACGGGAAGGTAATCGCTTGAGATGTGATACATAATTCTAGAAGAAACACGGAAACCGCAGTTTCTGGATATCGCGTAGTCTCTAACATCTGGTGCCTGCAGATAGTTAAAGGGGTGGTGTCTCGGTTCATCAGTGCTTTGAATGACGCACCCATTTCGCATCGCATAGTTATACAGGCGAACACCGCAAGCAATGTTGATCCTGCAATACCATGCGTGGAGCTTGAAGTAGAAATCACCTGCCACAATCAGCGGACTCGAGCAATCCAAGACGAGTTGCAGGTCCGCTTCTTGAAGCCGAGGACCGAAGCTCACATACACTGTTGTGATTTTTAATGGAATGCCTCTCATTACATTGACCACCACAGAGGTAGCTTCAATGCTTTGTATTTCAGCATTGGTGCATCTGTAATAGTCATCACCACGCTTAACAAGCACGGCCAAGTCGCCACCTATACGCGAAGACGAAGCGATTTCCCGGTTTTAAAAATGTTTCCTGCAGCAATGCCATATCTATAGACTCGTCCAAAAGGACCTGGTGAAATTATCGTTTTTTACTGACTTCTCTCAACCCACAACAGATTCAAAAAATAATTTTGAGAAAAGCAGAGTCTATTATACTTAGCCATCTATCGGCTGCGGAAAGATCACTTGCAACGCCTGTGTTGCGGTTATCAGAGGAGTAATAATTTGTTGGAGTGATTTGAGCGCGGTCGCCAGGTCTACTTGTTGAGAGTTCAAAGCAGGAGCTGCGGCTGAAGTGACAGGAGCTGAAGGCCCGGCTGTCAGATTTATTGCGCCCTTCGACTATAACCTGCAGCTTCCTCTAAGGAGTGAACCTGCACGTTGGACTGTTGGCAGGATATCCCTCCCCGCAGTTTGCGCACCTCCTGTATTGTTTGAGGGCACAAATGTGTTACGTGGTCCTGTGTACATTTTGGTGGCACTGTACAGTAAGATTGGGCATGCCCATATCTCTGGCAGCGGTGACACTGGCTAATTAGTTTATTATTCTTTTGAACCTCAACCTCACTTTACAGGCCAAACAGTTCGTTTTCATTGAATGACTCGTGTGATTTTACGATTCTTGGCAATATCCCCACTACCAACTGCAATGGAGCGCTTCCACTGCGTTTTAATCTGATCAGATAGAGAGCGGTATATGCTGTCTGTCCAGCTCCAGCTTTATCTCTTCCTCGTTGAACGACACGGGGATACAGCGCAGGACAACAAGTATATTTCTTTCCGATGGCAGAGGAACGATAAGATGGGCAATGTTTTGTTCCTTGAAATACCGAATTATCTTTCTGTAATGGTCCTCGGTTTTTGGGACCCCTGCCGGTCACAGTAAAACAAGTAGCATCACTTTTATATAGGTATCCATCTTCCTAAGACACACATGTATATAATCTGCCACTGTGCGCAGAGGTTTTTTTGTGTAAGCTCAGACTAACGTTCTTTAGTTTCTTCTCGCTATCTCGAAAATTTTCTTGCCCAGGTAGGAGTATTCCTAGTCTATAATTGTCACTGTCAGTGTGACAAGCCCCTTGACAATGGCGTACCATTTTCGGTTTACCTACCTTTTATTGATCTTCGTAATTTGAATCGGCAGGGTTATAATGATACAGGCATGATTTCAAAAAAACCTATAAAATATCAACTTGTGGACTAAGTAGACTAGTGTGCAAATAGTTCATTCCGCGCTTGCTGCAAGTGAGTATGAAGGGAACGATAGCTAGTTACAAGTTGGCGTCTCATTGGAAAACCTACATAATGTTATAAGAAACCAACATAATATAAAAAGACGACATAATCTCACTTTAAAGTCACCTAATACCCCTGCGGAGCGGTACTCAAAAATATAACTAACAGACAAAACTATTCATCTGAGCAAAAATCCAATATTGCGTCTATAAGAAAAAATGAAGTTGATGCTGGAGGACAAGAGACGAAACGCCATATTGAAATTATAATTATGCCATCTTGCAGAGGAGAGAGAGAATGTGTAATTTATTTTGAAATCGCAATAAAAATAAAGTGAAAAAAATAAATCGATTTAGGGAAAATTCTATTTTTTTCCGACTCTCTCGGAAGTACTTTGAATTTCGAAACTTTATAAGCGGCGTTTTGTTGATTATCTAAATACGCAACTCTGTCCCCATTTAAGCGACTTTCCATTACTTACAGTTTCGAGATCTCAGTGGTGAGGGTCGAATTGGAAACACCCGCTATTCAACAACAAAACGCTGAACCGTCCGACCGCTTTACGTTATTCGATCGCTCTCATCATTTCTGATCTTAATACTTGGTTTAATAACGACTAAAAAGATTTTTTCAGAAACCGTGATAATGTGCCGGAACAAACATAAACATGAAGTCCCGCTGATCGAATGAGCTGTAGGAAGAGACGCTTCGGTGTAATTCATAGTATTGAATAACGTCTTGTTATTTCTGCCCTTATGCATGTTCCGAATACATTCTTGCGAATCAAATATACCCTATTTCAGGAGTGTCCATCACGCTTTGACGTCTACTGAGGTGCACAGCTCAAACTTTTAAATATATATAAACATGCCTTCTACTAGTTTACATAAAAAATATAGTAATTATCGTTATTGAGCCGTCCGAGAATGTAAAAACACATCGATAAACACTCCAGGAAAGCTGGGTAAAGAGTGCTCAGAAAAATAAATATACGCAACACTTTGTATTGGTTGGAGCATACCTTATACCCTATTTCACGAGTATCCATCACACTTTGACGTCTACTGAGATGAACATCTGACCAGCAAGTGACATTTTTGTGTTAGTCTGTAACGTTGGCTATAATGAATCGGTTGTAAATCAAGCAAAACTTGCTTGCAGAGTTTTGTTTTTTGTAAACAAATGAAGTTGTCTAAGTAATCGAGCTGTTAGCAAGTACAAAATGAATCTGTAGCGTATAAAAAACCAAAAAAAAATGTGGCTCCGTCTACCTGGCATTGACAGATCCGTCAGAATTATGTGTGCTTTGCCGATATGGGGAATTTTGACATATTACTAGATAACCAAATGTCATTCTACCGTAATTATTTTTTAAATCTTGATAAGTTTTGGTTTATAGTCGAAAAATGACACTGGTATTTTTATGTGTGCATTTTAACCGAGTCAATCTACTTGATAATTTTCATTAAATCTCTCTTTGTAGGTGGGCTACCCTCTCCTGGACTCTCTATTCCACAAGAAGAACAAAGAAACGCTTAGCCTAAACAACAATCTAGTCCCGAACAACGTAATCAAGAAAGATGACAGCAAAAGAAAGAGGCCGACGAAAAGTGGGATACCGAACCTCAATCTTCGATTCATCTTGGAATTCATCAAACTCATCCGTATCATGATCCCTAGTCCTTTCTGCACTGAAACAGCACTATTGGGTGGTCATACGACGTTTCTGTTCCTTAGGACCTTCCTCAGCATATACGTAGCCAATTTGGAGGGAGCGATAGTCAAGTACATAGTCAGCAACGAGCCCAAACTTTTTATCAGACAAATCATGAAATGGTTTGCGGTCGCTATTCCTGCCACTTTTATCAATAGCATGATCAAGTAAGTACAATATATCACGATTTCGTAGGACAAGTGATAGTTATAGGTTATGGTTTTGCTTATCCTGACCAATAAACAATCCTTTTTAAAAAGATCCTCCCTATTTATTTTTTGAACGTTCAAATTAGCAAGCTAAAATTCAGGGTGATCAATTTTTTTTACACCGAGGCAGATGCACAGGCAGAAGCCTAAATGCCAGGATACCGTTGCTGCTATGAGGATCGCAAAGAGATTTTGTTAATCCGATTTTTGGACTACCTAAGGTTAGTAGAAAAGCCTCCTCTTATAAATTGTTCCACAATCTCGATACCCTCAGGACAAAGAAGTGGTCGTATCGGCCAGTTCTTGATGTAAGAAGTTCGACACGGTTAGGATGGGAAGCCGGGTCTATTTAGCAGGCATATCGCGCGGCGGCATGATGGAGGAGAGCTCTGAGGAGCAAAGCCCGTTTTGAAAACACAGAAAAACGTAAAAAATCGAAATTTATAACTTTGAACGTAAGCTGTCTTCAAAAAGGATGACATATAAATAACCCGTCGGGCACAGCTAATAGATAATATACTTCATTGGCAGCATATTGAGAAATGATTTTTTCACACAGCAAATATCACTGATGCAGACCAATACACACAATCATCCAGATCAGCTCTTGCTACTTAGTCTACTTTCTTCTCAGAGATTAAAGCTATAGACTACTCGGCTTCACAAAACATATGCAACCAACAATGCGTGTAGTTAAGCTATTCCTTCATAGATGGACGCTCACAAGGATCCTAGTGAGCTAACGCGGAATGACTGTTTACACCCTAAAAACTACCTAATCTGCAATATGACATTTTATAGGTTTTTGTTTGGAGTTGTATAGGTTTTTTACATATACCCGTGCGGATGAGCGCTAGGACGATTTTTGTTATTTTAACTAATAAAAGGAAAAATATTGATAAAACCTGAAGCATGAGTTATTTTCAGGACCGATAACGCTTGTGGATTGTGGACCTTTGTCCTTTTGATGAAATACGTACAATTTCAGGTACTTGTCAAACCTGACTTTCCTATATTTGTTAATTACAAATATATTTGGCAACATATGCGTTTTATGAATATTGAATGTTATAAAAACTCACATTTTTTAGGTACGACGTCAATGGTATTGAAGTGCATATGCGTGCCTCCTAATGGTGTTGGATAATAAAAATAATGCCTTTGTTGACATTATAAAACATAGTAAAAGTAAATTAACTTAATTATACGAAATTGCTTTGATTAATGCTATGAATATAGATATTATATGCCATAAACGCAAACGATGACATTCTGGAATTTCTATTTTCTTTTTGCATCAAGGAAAACGGCACACGATTACTTACGATAAATCAATGTTCCTTCAATTTCCTTATAATGAAACTGTTACCGATAATTTACAACATGAGGATGTAATTTATATATGGAAATTACTGGAAACGTGAAATTCCTTGTCACATAACGTCATGCGAATTTTTGGTGGAAGAAATGGTATGGGTTTTACGTAACTTGAAGGCCTTATATCGTTTTTTGACATTATGTCGATCTTTTTGACATTATGTAGGTTTTTTATGACGTATTAGTTTTTTCTACAACACGTCAACTTGGAACTAGCTATCAGCTTCATGCTCACTTGTAGCAAGCACGGAATGGACAAGTTGACATTTTATCGGTTTTTTGGCATATAGCTTTTTTTCGAAATAACCCTGCCAGTCGATAACACCATAGTGGTTGCTGATGAGATTGGCGTATCGCTTCTATTCTTCGCATTGGTTGCTAGCCTTATTTTTAAATAAAGTAATAATGATCGAATATAAATCTTGGATCTATTATTTTGAATAATCTCACAGTCGAATATTCCATGTTGTCAATATTGCAAACTCCCGGTATCGGGTAAACTGGTTGCGCGGTGCAAAAAGTCTATATTACTTTTCGTATAAATTGCCACATTAGGGTTTGAAATGTTTGTGACAGACGGACAAGTGTTTTAATGTATAATTCTGAAAATCATTTAGGCTTAAGAATCGTCGAGTCCTTGGATTCTGTTTTTTGATTCACCCAATTTTCTGTAATAGTAATTTTATATTCTAATGGCACAAATGTTACCACAAGGTAAACAACATAAAAAAAACTCGTAGAAGGCAGTAACCTTGTGCGTGGGGGTTATTAATAATATTATGGGGTCATCATACAGGTATAGTATTTTAAATGTTTCATTTATTTGTATGAGAAAATGATTCAAGCAACGAGTTTATTCATAGACATTACGGACGAGTTTATTTCTTCATTTATTCTCATAATAGTTTATTCTTGATAATATACACGTTGTTGAAGAGACCTAAAAACAAAAGAAACATCACCCCTCGCTGTGGACCTGCCTTTCAAAAATTAAAAAATACAGTTTGCCCTGAAAAACAGATTAAATAAAAATATTCTGTATTGATTTGGTACTTCTTTATCACAAGTTTTGTTTGTAAATACTGTATCTGATTCGAAAACACGAGTTTGTGTACTTCTTTCTAAATTTGCAACATTCGGGGCTATGTACAGTGTCGACAGACACAGGAGACACGGCGTTCTAAATACGCTCGCGGAGTATCGATAGGATCTTGAAGACGCACACAGTAAACTGACATCAAATCGATAACTACGTTGCTGATACAATTTATTGTTTCCTGCCCTGCGGCTTGAACATACAAACACAAACGTATACTCGTAGTATAATACAAGTACGTTATTGCTGCAAGAATGTGTCATTTTCGTTTTTTGAAATGCGACTAGTGCATAAACTACACACCGCGCGGTTGCTGATTTGGATACTTGGATATGCGATGAGGTGCCCTCGTCACTCGGGTTGCTAGGCAACGAGTGGCTTCTATCTCTTTCTAACACACATATTGTACGCTTCTCGCGCATCTCTCTCGTACACATTACGACGTCAGTTTTATTTGGTTTTTAGTGTATAGTCATAGTACCACAAAACATCATATCTTTTGACGTTGTTCTCCCGCATAAACAGTCGTTGGATATGAGACCTCATGGTGAGGTTCTTTGTACCTAGTTTCTAGGTAATGAAATTTTGAATAACAAATGTTGGGCGTCTGGAGTTAAGAGAGATACAAACCCACAAGGCACTCAAACATTTATTGGACAGAAAAATTAAAAAAAAAATTGAAGGTAAGTCCTGGAGGACAGGCTAAGAAAATTATTGCATATCATCCCCCTGGCTAAATGGGTACTGATAAAACTAAAATTAAAAATTAAAACCACCCCACCAGCCTTTAAATCCGCAAATCAACGGGTGAAATATTCACAGAATCGGGCAGTGGGCCGCAGAAAATTCCTGTAGCAGGAGATGGAGAGTAGAGTACGATTTTCTATCTTAAAATTATTAGACTGAGAGAAGTGGTTTGTTATAAAAATGAAATTCAATGTTTTTAAGAAATGATTATTCTAAATAAGAAAAACGCTGTAATAACTCACTTTACCAAGATGTAGTTGATTTTTAGTCGACCATAAAAAGAAACTGTAACAACGTAGAAGGGAAGCAGGATCGGAATGTCTCATTTATAGTTTTTGTTAAATTAATACTTTGATTATCTTGCGGCTTTGGAATACGCGTTTTGTAGGAAAACTTACTTAATACTAACTATACGCTTTGAAGAGTCCCGGCTTTGAGGTCGCTCTGTATATGTGGCTTGATTCGGCTAGAAAATGGAGTCGTATATATGTATATTTAAGCATTCCATTAACTGATAAATTCATCAGTTAATAGGAGAAGATTTTTTATTTCGGATAACACCCGGAAATTTTATTTATGTAAGAATCCAACCTTGAATTGAAAAAGACTGGTATGTGAGAACATTTTACCGTACCCACATCATCAGATCATAACAATCGCTTACACTGAAACGGAATACTTTTATGTAAGTGTATTCCGAGAATTTGTGCTCATTGTAGAACTTTGTAGTCACGGAAAAGATTGATGCTATCATTAACGATCATCAAGCTAGCTATAACATGTAACCAGAGGGTTTACCCTCAGCATGAGTACTGGCATCTTGCTTTTGGATATCTCAAAAGCCGTTGACAAGGTGTGGCATGCAGGCCTCCTCTATAAACTAATCCAAAAGGGTTTTCCTTTTTGGCTTCTAAAATTACTGAAATCATTTCTTCAATGAAGGAAGTTTCGGATCAAAATTAACAATGTTTTGTCAACAACACCTTTATCCGCTTTTGATCCATGATGTAACTTGCCCCCAGCAACTGCGAAGTCTACCTCTATGCTGACGACACTGCACTTGTCGCCCAGTCGTGTACTAGTGATCTGGTTCACGATGGGTTGTAGAGTGCGGTGGACGAAGTACTAGAGTGGGCGGAACAGTGGCTGATTAAAATTAATCATCCGAAAACGCAGGCTATTTATTGTACCAAAAACGTCGCGGCCCCCCAGCAGAGGTTTCTGTAGACGGCAATCGTGTACCATGGACAAATTCTGCCAAGTACCTCGGTGTCACCCTTGATAAAGGCATGACCTGGCAGAAACTTAAAACAGCCTTGAAAACAAAATTCCAAATAGCCAATCGGCAACTATATACTTAGTTGTATAGATCCTCCAAATTGAGTTTGATAAACAAAGTTGGCCTATATAAAATTATTAGGCCAGCCATTACTTATGCATGTGCGGCTTGGTGTTTTCTTGCCAAGACACACGTGCAAAGTCTTCAAGTACGGCAAAGCAGAACGTTGCAAACAATTTGCAACGCTTCATGGCATGTCTCAAACGAGACACTACACAGAGAACTTGACATTCCTTAATTGAGGGATTATGTCAAGCTTCAGGCGCAACGACGTTATAGTCAAGCGCAATCGTACAGCAACCTATGTTGCGTGACTCGGTGAACTACACAGTGGAGCAAGTTCGTAAACATTCAAGGCCACGGCTCGCACTGTAATCAAAAATTATCGCGAACTTTTAGTAAACTTAAAATTACAGTCTAACAAAACCAAATCAAAATTTATTTAGTTCACCTCAAAATGAATCCGTGTACCAAGTCAAAAAGCCTAGGTGTTTCCTTTTAAGCCAAACACTTCCGTTTTTCTTTGCTCTCCTCCTTTTTCCTTCTCTTTCCCTTTCTCTTTCTCCTTTACATTGTCTGGTTTCTGGGCAACCAGGACCGACAGATCGACTAACGTACATTAGACAGTGACTAATGGGCAAAGGTCCTACGGACCGCCCAGACAAATAAATGACAAATAGTTAAGTTAGCTATAAAAAGCCATCTATCGGATTTGACCCGTACATATGCAGCACTCTGGATTTTTCTATTCATGTTTTCGCATGGACCATACGTGGTTGCAGAAGCCAAATTCAATTATTCAAATAATAAAAGGGGGCTAATATTAGCATGCACTGCGTTTGATGCCCTTTTCGTTTCAATGCAACTGTTGACATAAGTGTTCAAGCACGCGTGCAAAACATAACCCCACTTCTGAGGCAGTCGGGTATTCAGTTCATCTCTACTGAAAACCGATAACTCCTGTGCGGAGGTAGACGAAAAATCTGACGATCTCCGAATAATGGTTTGCTTATGAGCACGCAACAGAGTTATCTGTGGTTAGTCGTGGTTATAGAGACGGAAAACAAACATGTCCATTTCAGTCATGACAAATCTTCTCTTTCAAGGAATTTCAACTTGATTCATGATTTTTTCAGATATTTAGAAAGTAGAATAGCCTTAAGCTTCCGAACCCGTCTAGTAGAACACTCCTATCGCCTGTACTTCAATAACCAGAGCTACTATAGAGTTACAGTTCTGGATGGACGATTGGAGAATTGTGCTCAAAGGCTTACTGACGATATTGAAACGGTATGTACTGACTAAATATTTAATAACAGACCGAAATATAGGCTTTATTGGCCACGTAAAGTTGAATTTGCCGCTCAAGATCGACAAAGTAGCGAAATGGCCTAAGAAACAATCAAATTTAAGCGAATAACCAAATGAAAATGGTATTTACCATTTTGGATTGATATTTACCGATCCGTTCAAGCGAGTGTGGTTATCAGTTTGGTTATAAGATCCGTGGCGTCATGACTCAGCTGTTATATGTCATAGTTATCACCGCGAAATTGTTGTATTTACCCAACTCAGGAGTTTTATATTTCTGGTTATTATTTGAAATCTTACAAGTAAGAATTTTGCCGGGTATTGGATATTTTTATTGTACTTCAGCTTCATTTTTGGGAAACTTCATACAGGCTGACTTCAGTTTTAGCATAAAGTAGACCACCTTTAAATCTAGTTCCTATGCTTAACAAAGTATCCTGTGTAGCCATATACCACAAGAATATTAAAATATGGCCATATAAACTCACTGGATGATGTCCACCTGTATACGGTTTTGCTAATATCTTTTTTCATCGCTTTTTCCTACTAAATCAATAAATGTTTTCTTTGACATGAGGAAAAGTTTACAGAATTGAAAGTTATCACAGCTACAAAGCCATGGTTCCATCATTAAACATTTCTCCCATTAATATTATGAAAGGTTTCTTTTTTAAACTTTCAATACACCGTTGTAGACCGAAAAACACCGATTATTAAGTGATAATAAAAAAATCAAATTATAGACGCGCTTTTCTAAAAACAACTTGCAGCAAAACCGCAGTTAAAACCAACGCGTTCAAGTGATTCGAGTAACTGACGTCATCAACCCGTGTGTCATCTTGAACCATATTATAACCACGGTACATAACTCAGAAATTTTGATTATTCGCTTGGATTTGATTATTGACTGACAATGAAAAAGTAATATCACAGGAAAGTTAAACTGTGAGAACAACATAATATTTTGATGAATACTGTTTTCGAAATAATAGCTGAAGGCACTAACTACATTTTTGTCTGCTTTTAGGTCGCAAATACGGTATCGCATCTCTATGGACAAATCACCAAGCCAGGATTTGACATCCTCTTAATGGGCATCGCCTTGGCTAACCTAGTTAAATCCAGAAATACAAATTTACTAATAGGACCAGCTATTCTCACTGGGGTAGTACTGGTATCAGCACTAGTGCTTAGAGTGGTAAGTACTATGAACAACCATGTTTGAGATTAAACATCTTCACCTCAAAGTGTTAAACTCGTGAAAGTAGAAACACAGTCTTTGTTTGAAATTTATAGACAATGTGGGTGTGTCAAAAGTCATATTTCGGACTTCCTTTGTCTATACAGTTTATGAGATCCCAAAACACAAAAATTGTATCAAAAAAAAAGTTCAATTCAATTTAATTCATTTTTCGTAAGCAGTCATCTCTGCATAGGAATTGTCAGCATAATAAATTCTAAAACAAGACAAAAGGTGATTAATAGAGTTTCCCGGAAAAAAAACACACACACACAAAAACTCAGACTATATAAAGAGTTGTCCAACAGATAACTTTGTTGTATGTGTTTGACCCGTTGACGTTTTGGGTAAGACGTTAATGGTTTGAGCGGTTTGAGTATTCCAAGATGTCCAACGGAAATAGTATGTTGAGTCTTGGGCCACATATTTATGTTTCAATTGACAGGTGTCTCCCAAATTTGGCCAACTGGTAGCCCAAGAAGCCGAAAAGAAAGGATACCTTCGCCATGTTCACGGTCGCATAGTCAGTAACGCAGAGGAGATAGCCTTCTATGGTGGTCACAAAGTGGAACAAAGCCATCTGAGACAAGCGTATAGAATATTAGTAGAACACTTAGAGCATATGTTTGGCGTGAAGCTGTGGTTCGTAATGCTAGAACAGTTCCTGATGAAGTACGTTTGGAGCGGAGCCGGTAAGTAAATTCTTACAATATTATGGCATAGTGTCTCGAGCGCCAAAGCAACACTTTACTTGATCAGAAAAATTCCCAGTACTGAAATATTGTCCTCTCAGTTCGCAATGATCTTCATAGGCTAGAGAGCTCGAAAAAAAAAATGAAAAAATATTTTGAAAGAAAAAATGTGTAAGAAATAGGTAGTAAAATGATCCAACTGTATATTTTCCTGGCCAATACATGGAAGCAGACCACAAAAAATGTTATGAATTTCTTTTGTACTGTGAAAACGCAAAAGCAATTTGTGCTCGAGATGTGATTTCGCGATTCTTCAAAATCATAAAGTTTCTTTTGTCATTGTAATAGTACGATAAGGCGAAGAAGGCAGCATTGGAAAGGTATTACTATTCGTTTTTTTACAATACCTCGCGAGGAGCTCGAAAGAAAGAAATACCATTTCACCCACGCGAAAACTGATCAACTGCTTTTTGGAAAAAAGAACATCTTTTCTTGCCTGGTTAAATGAACTAGTATTAGCGAGCAAAGTAAAATTGTAAGGATTATGAAATAAAATGTCCCTCGTAGGTGTTTTTTTTTGTTTGCGTGCGCTACCCACAGATCATTCTTTTGTTGTCCTTCGCTTGCCGTCCTCTGGTTTCTTGCTAAGCATGGGTTCAGTCCAACTCGTGACCGTTAGGTCAGCGCTTAAAAAAGTTTTTGATAAGAATGTTCTTGCCTACTTTTGATAAGTGTGTTAAAAGCCTTAACGTTATGTAAGTTACCACTCTGCTTTGAAGCCTTTAGACTAAAATTTTGTTTATTCGTCTTTCTCTCTATGTAGGTATGATCGTGGTGTCCCTACCGATCCTGCTAGCCACAAAACCGAAAAGCAAAGACGACAACGTATCCGAACGCACCCATTACTTCACAACGGCCAAAAATCTGCTGATCACGGGCTCGAATGCCGTGGAGCGACTGATGAGTAGTTACAAAGACGTGGTGGAGTTGGCGGGCCACACGGCGAGGGTGGCCACCATGTTCACTGTACTAGAGGAGGCCAGTAGGGGTATCTATCACAAGACGCTCGTGGCCAAGAAGGAGAAGGCCAGCGAGTTTGAGATTGAGTTCAGAGGGGATCAGCCGCTAGCCAAAGGTAGGGCGTTTTCTAAGATGATGTTTAAGGCGGCTCCGACGCAGTGAGTTTCAAGCAATTTACAAAGGTTGCGCTGCTTCAAAACTGACACTCCATTTTTCAATATTTTTGAATGAAATTCATTCAGTATGTTGAGAAGATAATTCCGCAGGGTGCTATAGGAGCACGTTTTGAAATTTTGTTATTGCACAAGTTTTATGATGGGTTGAAGAGCGCACTTTTTCTGTTCAACTTCGCAATTTTTTTAAAAAGAACCTCGTTAAAAAAAATGAAAAAGTGGCTCTATAGCACCCTGCGTCAATTTCGAAGCGCGCAAACCTGTACAAATCGTATTTTGGACGAATTTTGTCTACTGTTTCGTGCTGCCAAACCAAGCGTTGCGGCGGAATGTACGGACTAAGAAAGGGTATTCAGATAATTTGGTGGCCCTATTTCATATAATATTGCGTAGATAAGTCGTTCTGCAAAGAGGTACTCATAATCGCGATCTCCTCGATTTTAAAGCCGTTTTACTTCCCACGTCATTGGCGAGGAAGTATTGTAATCGCGAAAAATTTCTAAAATGAGAGTTTTTTTAAGTCATATGACATCTTCATCACGAAAAACTGTATCACTCATCATCAACTTGGAAATTACCGCTCGGATTTTTATGAGATAAAGTACATCATGCAACCCTGAATAGATTATGAAATGGCGGTTGTGTTGCCATATGTTGCCCTGTACAGAGGATTACATTTTCTAAGGAAACATATTTGGCCAATATTTATGTAAACACCTTTTTAGATATTTTGACATCCCGCACTAAAAACTCACCCTGTATGTTACCTCTGTTGACCTACCTACCCATAGTTTAATTTATACATTTTCCATATACATATTTCCAGGCAAGTTAATCTACTCGACGAACCACGAAATAATCCTGATAAACGTCCCGATAGTGACACCTAACTGTGATATTGTCTGTCCCTCCTTGAGTCTGCACCTGACGCCTGGCCAGCATCTGCTAATCACTGGGCCCAATGGATGCGGCAAGTCGAGTTTGTTCAGAATACTCAGCGGCCTATGGCCCGTTTATGGCGGCGAACTGCATACTCCCAAGAATTCCATGTTCTATATTCCTCAAAGGCCTTATATGGTCATAGGTAAGTATATTTTTTAATTAATATTGCTGCACTTAGATGACGAACCCACTATACAGAAATCATGCATCATATTAGTATCCTACGCGTCTACGATGTGAATGATACCTTTGTGCCGACGTCGTACTCAAGCACAGTGTGTTGTCACCAGCAAAACTACAAAAATGCACGTGACATTGCGAGGTAGCAGACACTGCCCCATATATGATTACATATAAGGAATATTTCAATACGAAATATAGTAGCATACCACATCGTACTCCACTGCTAACTCGGCGTTCCTTTGTATCGGCAAAATCGGTGCGCGCGGGTCCCGGCATATCCATTTCAGCGGTGTAAGATATGTTATGCTGATCTCTTCGATTTTGGTAACAGCCTATGATATGTCACCGTATAGAGAGCAAAGTTTTTTGTAGTTTTTTCAATATTTGTAAAACAATCTGTCTGCATTGAAACCTAGTATTCATTTTCGAAATCGATTTGGTAACGTTGTCAAACGTCAACTTTTTGTTCTATAGCGAAGCAGCAAAATGGAAGAGAGTAGCACAAAGACATGTTGCTCTTTATTCCATTTTGGTCCTTAACGTTATTACAGTAAGATAACTTAAGTACTGGAAACGTATGATTTTAAGTCTCCCCAATTTTTATAAATGAATTTAATAACTGTTTTTCAAAAGGCAATTTGAGAGATCAAGTGATCTATCCTGACACCTACGCGGACATGATTAACAAGCAGGTGACAGAGGAAGATCTGAGGAAGATAATGAGGATGGTGCATTTGGAACACATCGTGGAAAGAGACACCTTTCATGAAGTGAAAGACTGGACGGACATCCTGTCTGGTGGCGAAAAGCAACGGATGGCGATAGCCAGGTTATTTTACCATAAGTGAGTAGAATTTTGTTTAATAAATTCCATGAACCTTTATGTCAGCGTTATCCCCAGATCTAATTGAAACTATTCAGGCATCAAAACTTCTAATCATCATTACAGAAAACAATTTGAGAGCTGTCTTTTTATTATGTGCCTTTTTCATTTTCTTCACTTTTTTCTTCGCGTTATCTTTGCACCAGATGTGGCAGACTTACGAACTAGTATTGGCAACAAGCAGCAATGACTTGGCTTGAGCTCTCAAACATTCGGATGTTTTTTTACACAGCACTGAATTCTGATCGTTCTTCTTTTCAAACTAGGGTCTTGGGAAATCCTGGTTCCGAAAGTTCCGGGATTTTCTAGGACTTAAGAGTCGAAGTGAAGGAAGGAAAAACTTGTCTCGGTCTTTCGTCACTTTTGGGGCTAAGTACAAATGATGTAAGCAAATATATATAAAAAGGCCAGAAATTTTATCTGGAATTGTTACTAACCCGACCGCAGTCTATTTTAACTTGATTTTAACTTAAAAGCTGAATTTAAAGCTAATTACCGGGACTCTCAGCTCAATTAACAGCTGTCAAAGAACCAGCTAGTCCCAAAGTCTATTATCTGTAAGAGTAGTAGTTCCTCATTCTCTATTTTAATCCTGTTACTGTCATAGATTTTCTTGATTATATATTTGAGGATTGATATACAACCTATAAACACCCTTTGCCTCCAACCGAACAATATAATGAAATCATTATCTTATTTCCAGACCGAAATACGCTCTTTTAGACGAATGTACATCAGCAGTTTCAATTGATGTGGAAAGCCACATATACCAAGCAGCCATAGATATGGGAATTACCTTGTTGACCATTACGCATAGGCCAACCTTATGGTGAGTATTTTATAAAAAAGCTTGGATATTGTAAATGATGTTATAGATCCTGTATTACCAACAAAGTCTCATTTGAACTCGTGCCATTTTCCATGCAGGTTTTGGATGCCTTGAAAACGGGTTACACCGCCTTATTCAAGGAGGCATAATTTTGCAGACACACTAATCAAGCGCTTAAGCCTGAGGTATTTTAGATATTTCTTATTGATGCACTCCTTCAGACTGCCGAACTGTTAAGATAAGTCACTGATCTTTCAACCCTCCCCGATGATACTTTGTAATGGGAAGTGAAGTTGGCAGCGAGATTACGGATCAAACGGATTCAAACTGTATGGTTCAGTGTTTAGAAAAACCAACTAACATATTGATTTTTCTTGTTAGGAACAGCTTCATTATATCTGTTCCTGGACTCATGTGGAAGGTGTGACGCTAGCTACCAACAACCAGCTTCAGCTACTGGCTAAGGGCTGCTTTGATTGCCTGTCTCCCTACATTACTTAATTCCACCACAGTCATACCTGTATTGTAAAAATAAAGAAAAATTCAGCAGCATCCTCAATGTTCTGCGTCTATAGTAAAAATACGTGAACGAAAAATTGGTAACGAAATTTGTTTTTCCAGGAAATTTCACTCGCACATCTTGCAGTTCGACGGTACAGGATACTGGGAATTCAGCGAGCTGAATCACCACAGTCGACTAGACTTGAAAAAAGAAAAAGAAGAGTTGTTAAGAGCTAAAGATAGTGCGCAGAAAGAAAACAGGTTGAGTGAATTGAACACGCTTCTATGTGAAGACATGACACAATGAAGTAGTAATCAATTTAATATGAAGAACGTGTATATATTTGAATTGGGACACACAGTAAATGCTCATGGATGAAAGAAATACGAGGCAAATCTAGAATATATAAGTACAAGGCCAAAAGGAGTAAGGAATATATAATATATACCAGGCTATACATTTGTATACATGCCGTTTTTGCTTAGAAATATAAACTACTTTGTTAAGTCAAATTCATCACAAAGTAATCTGTGATAACTGTACATTACCAAAACCACGATCAACACTAGAACAAAAAAAAAACATCACGTTATCGGGCATATTTTTTTAAGCAGGGTTTCTCAAACTCATAGTTCAAATTCTTGCATTTCGTCTATATCATGACCAAGTGTGAAAACCGACCATAAGCTGTCACGAACAGTAAACGTAATTTCTCCACTTTTCGTAAAAGCTCCGAATATTTTTCTTGCAACGTGCGCTGCGAAATATGGAATTCCCCGCTAAGTGTTAATTGTTAATGCCTCTATGACCACAGTGAAGCGGGATACCTACTCTTGATTTCAGCCTAATGAATAAAATCGGTTTCTGTGGTCATTTTCACCTTAATAGTTCAATCATATTAGAAGGAAATACCCCTGGTAATAATTGTAAAGCCTGGTTTCATTGCTGCAACTTGTTCAAGTTGGTATTCAAAACATGGACGCCAAAAATGGGTACACCAATTTCTGTGGGAAAACTTTTTATTCGGCAGCAAAGAATGAGAAAACGTGTTTTTTGGGATTCAATCGAAAGTGTTGGCACGAAAGAAAAAACTCTTGATATAAGATTTTTAGGTATTTATGAGACCGCTCGTAAAAAGATCCGACTAATAGCAAAAAAGATATGGCCGAAAACCGAGGCAAACTGCAGGTTTTGGTACTTGCTGGTAATGCGACGATGGTTTCTCGCAGATATTTGAAATTCTCCAAATTCGTACTTCTAAGGAACCACAACAAAATTGAAGTAGATTGGTCAAGTAGTTTTTGAGAATTTCTAATTGTTTATCCCAATCCGGCCATCACTACTAGTTTATTGATCATTATACAGGGTTAGTTCAAAAGGCATTTTGTAGCAAAATACACTAGTTTACCTTTGCGATATTCCATTCCGGAAGATAAATATTGTAGCGTTTTTCTGGGTTCTTTTGGGTGTGGATTAAAACACTATTCCACAAAAAGAAAGGCACTAATTTATTTAACTTGATAGAACATTTATCTACACCACTATTTATGTCTGACTAATTCTTATGTCGCTATTGACTGCACTATACTCCACTCCGCTCTGCTGCTACGAGAAAGGTCTGGTGAACCAAAAAGCGACGTCTAGAATATTGGAGGTCACTTCGCGTCGATCTAGAGGCGATCCACTGTCACAGTCCTGACAGACGCCGCCAAGCGGCTTGTGCGGTCGTAGTTCGCGTAAAAGCAGAGATCGGCCATGAAGCTCTGGCGAGTAGGAGACTCGTCCAACAGATGGCGCCAACAGTACTATTTGTCACAATATTATTTTTATGCAAAAAAGGATGGGTTACGTTTTTTCTTCTAAACAAATGCAAACATTTCGTATTTGTGAGTAATTCCCAACAAAAGATGATAGACACATCCGCTTTGTTTTAAAACGTGCATAGTAACCAGTAACGTATGGTTTTAGAATATCGTAGCGCATTTGTTCAATTACTCAAAAATACGAAATGTTTGAATTTGTTTAGAAAAAAAAACTTAACCTTTTCGCATAAAAATAACATTTATCTTTCAGAATGGTTTGTGATTCAAATCGGCAAGGTAAACACGTGTATATTACTATTAAATGCTCTTTGAACGAACCCTGTATATTACTCAATGAACTAGTAATGATGGCCGGAAGACAAGTAGTTTGGGATAGACAATTAGAAATTCTCAAAGAACTACTTGACCAGTATAATCCAACTTTGTTGTTATTTAGAAGTATGAATCCTACGAATTTGAAGAATTGCAAATAGTTGCGTGAAATTATCGTCGCATTACCAAAAAGTGCCAAAACCTGCATTTTGCCTCTATTTTCGGCCATAACATTTTTACTATTAGTTCTTTTTACGTTTCAAATACCCTTTTGAACAACTTGTATCAATAAAACCAGACTTTACAATTATTTCGGGGAAATTTGATAATATGATTAGATTATAAGTGCGATTAATCAACGCGCTCATAGTGGTACGTGTACACCACTTTGAGAAACCCAAAATCAAACTACTGCAACTAGATATTCACAAATAAGGCTTAACATTTGCGTGATAAATTACCAGTGAAATCTGCAACTATACACATCCTTGAATTATTTCAGCTTCCTTAGAAAACCAGTGCCAATGTACTTTTGTAGTCATTTTTGGTTGTTGATAAATACGGCTTGCTGGACTACACTGAATATTATACCACAGCTCTGCTATGTCATTTCTTTGCCACTCATATCCATATTTATTAAATCAGCTTCACATGAATATCGTAGCAGTACGGTTAATACGTAGAACAAAAGACTTAGTGGCCAATTATAATCATAACATTGAAAATATATCCTTAACCTTTTGTATCACAAGCACTTTGCCATTATGTTTTAACTACAGTAGTTGTGAATCTTGTGATTTTTTATAGGAGTAAAGAATATGTACGTACAGGGACATATAAAAATTCGTAGTTATTTTTGTACATAACAAATATAAAGGTTGATTGTTTTTTATGAATTTTAATCTTTGGTGTTTTATGTATCAGTATCTGTGAACAAATTGTATGAGAACTGTTATAATAAAATAATTTCTTTTCCAAGTTTTTTCACTATTAACCTGAGAAGTCAGCATTATTGATCCCAATACTCCAATGAGAAGTAGCTTTTCTCTCCGTCGGGTTACAAAGGTACTGGATTAATAATCACACACACTACCGCTCAAAAGTTTTGGGACTGTAGATTATTTGAGGGAAATCAAACCAGAGTGTGTTTAATCAAAAACATAAAAAGGAAACTATTTTCCACTAAAACTTAATCAGTTGGTAACTTATTTCTATCAAAATTTACTTTCAATTCATGATTCATCGAAGTGTCCACCACGAGCTCGAATAAGTGCATTACAGACAAGACTCATCCGACGTATCAAAATTTCAAGAATAGTTCCTGACAAGGACACCTACGCTTCCTGCAGTTTAGCCCACAAGTCTGCAGCACTAGTAGGCTCTTTTTCATCCCACAAATACTCGATAGGAGACAAATCTGGAGACTGAGAAGGCTACGTCATGATTTTATTGCACCAAGTTTTTGCTGATGGTTCAAATAATTGCGGCAAAACATCCCCAAACCATTACACTCGCACCTCCATGTTTAACAGTGGGCTGCAAACATTGCGGAGCCATGCGTTCATGGGGTTGGCGGCGTACAAAGTGTCGTCGTCTAGATCCGAACCTTTCAAATTTGGATTCGTCCGACCAAAGGACTCGATTGCAATCGTCAATGGTCCAATCCTCCCAGGAGTGGTTTGCGTGCTGCTACACATCCTCTAAGGTTAGCCCTTTGTAAGCGGCTTTTTACCGTGGACACGGGTACAGGGTTTTCCCTAGTTCTATTCAAGCTGTGTGTAAGTTCAGGTGCAGTTAAATGTCTATTTCACTTACTTATTACTATAAACCTATCCTCAGGAACAATTGTAACTCCGTCTTCCAGAGCGTGGACGATCTACGACACTGCCTGTTTCTCTGTTTTTCCTCGAAATTTGAGACACCGTGGTTCGTCCGATATGCAGGCTTTCAGCAATCGATCGCCAATTGGCAGTCCCTCATACTAAACTACGTACAATTTTTAATTTGTTTCATCGATACCCAGAATGTTTATGTGCCATATTACGCCGAACATAATACATAGTTAAAAAAAAAGTAAACAGCGGCAGGAATTGGGCCGATTTATGCAAAGGACTAATAAAAATATCAGAGTCTCTAAAGATGTTTACATTTATTCTCTTTTAAGCGGTGTTTCACTAATTCTTATGCATCTTTAGCTTGAATAGTCGTATTATAGATGGTAATCATTAATCAGTGTCATATAATATGCCTTATTTATTTTAATTTCTCTCAAAAAAGTTACTGTCCCAAAATATTTGTGCGGTAGTGTACGTCTCAAATTAGGTATTTTATGTACTAGTAAACTAGTAGGTAGGTACTCATCGATCCTGCATATTTCGAAAATGTTACCACATTCTTAAATACTAAGCATAGAAAAAGGCTGAACCTATGATTAAGAATAGCTTTATATTTATCTTCAGTAAATATACACAGATTTTGTTTCTAGAATCAAACTAGGCTAAGACCTTCTTTTAAATTACACTCACTTAACAATAGTACTTGAATAAATATTAAAATTACATTTTTCTTGCCTACAGTGACAATTTCAATAGAGTAACATTGCTTGTATAACAATGCAAGTCCGTGTTCGTAAATAGGATTCATAGCTTTAATAAAAAATAACTCACATAAAAGTAGTCTCAAATGCTTATAAGCATATTTTCATTAGATAACATGGTAGATTTGTCACACTGCTTGGAGCCGAGGCGATATTTCTTGCAGAGGCTTTAATTCTTGTATGGTGTACGAATGATATAGTAAAACACTTTGTTTGACAAGAATAAAGAAAAATAGCACCATTGCTAAAAAATCGTTGTATAACACAGCTTGTTCATATTCACGAACAACGTACTTATTAAAGACAAACCAACTAGCAATAGAATTGGGATTTGGAAGAGCTCAAATAAACATATATGTTGTATATATCACTTTCGTAGCTGCTTGGAATTCTTAAAAAACAAAAACCAAGATTATAACAGTAGATTCATACCTATTTTATAGAATCTGAAAAAACTGGACATGTCCTATAAAAAAGTCAGTCTTGATGAAGTAACATACATAACCCGTTCCAGGTAAAAGAACTGCATCAGTTGATGTATTCCGTTAGACTGATTAGTGTAACAAAAGTGATACAGATCAGAATGTCGAAATCATTTCTACCACTTGCTGGGAACAGTTATTGTGACACGAATGACCAACGGTAAATTCATACTATTAACGTGATCACTGCAATCAGAACGAAATAATATAGCAAGTGTTACATTTTTGCTTCTGAAATAGCTTGGAAACTAACAATTGATGCAGTATATTGACAATAATTCATAAAGATAAATTACACATTTCACTTGGAGAGGGCAATATTTCAACCGTGGATAGAACGACGCAATATTGAATTGATTTTGGATAAAACGAAACCTTATATCTCGGGTATAAGTACCAGTGGCATCTAACCGCGATTGAAATATTTCCCTCTTCCAATGAATATCCTGTATAATATATGGATTTACTTTTACAACTTTACCTTAAAATAAATCGTCAGCAGACAATCAATATTTGATAGGACATGTCATGATTCCGTAGCAATTTTAGGCTGCCAATGATCTAATTCTACCTAAAATTGTTAAGTGCGATAATAAGAAACGAATAAGTTATATTTTACAGATTGAAGCGATTAAAAATAAAACTTTCACGAAGGCATTACCAAAAATCGAGCATAAAAAAAATAACCTCTTTTTAAAATCGAAATATTAAAGTTCCTTGTCAGTGTTTTCAAACCCTATGATTAAGATACAATACGCTAAACCGAAAGAAACAATACGTACAACGTATATTAACCAGAATAAGTATAACAGCGCATAATGCTTTTTTATTTGGTATTTAAAGAGACACATTTTTTGCATCGATTTCTGGTACATCCTGTATATCTTTCTTGAAATTACATAAATAGAAATACTGATATCGATTTCAGAAGTGCATGTACCCACAAATATCATACTTAGATAAGCAGAATTGCATAGTACAGAACAAATTAAACTCATATAATGATAGGGTATTGAACTGGCAACCATATTTCATACTTAATTTTTTGTGCATACATCATAAAAATTGGACGTTTATATGTTCATACATAAATGATAGGAGTTCATTTTTCAGACCAGGGCACTCATTCTAACTAACTGAACTTCGACCATTGAAATTAACTTCGATGGCGCCTTGCTGTCACATTTGAACCGCTATGATAATTTTGAAACTGGCATGATAATTTGAATATCGAAAATAGCTAGAAAGAGGTGTCCAAATAATCATTACGGATCATGTGTATGACGGGAACGCGACAGAGAAATTATTGTATGCTTAAAGTCCTCCATTATGCAACCTAGATACTACAGATCATAAAATCGTTCGTTTCGTCTGGTTTACTAAAAAAAGATCGATAGATTAAACCCGTCAAATAAATTCAAGTGAAAAAATAGTGCAATCACATCTAGTCTTGAAAAAATGCAATGTTACGATATGCTCCAGACCTTGTTTTTATGACTTTAAAAACAATCCCTTCTAGATATATTCAATTTTCTTAAAATTAAGTATGGATGGTCGAAATCCAACTGCTGGGACTTTGGAATAATAGGAGTATATCTTTAATTAATGAAAGTGTGATTCGACCGCATTACAACAACTAACATCGTGTGACTCCTACTTAAAATACGGTAGCCAGTTTTCGACGAACCAATTACTATAACATCCTGTAACGAGTTAGCGATACTAACACAGCAAAACGTCAAATTCATGTGAAAAAACGACTTTAATGTTGAATTTCTAATGCCTGTGCCTACTGCTGTTCGCCTAAGCTCCACATACGTAGGCTAGGCTAGGCTCAATAATTAATCTCAGCTTGAGATTCCAAGCTGCGCACGGTAAATACTAAAGCTAGGCTTAAGTAAGCTGGCACCCGTAACCTGAAAGTGACATCTATTTTTATGACATTATGTATGTTTTTTGAGATTATGTATGTAAGTTTACCTATAAAATGTCACCTTTGAACTTGCTGACATTCATCTTATGCCCACTTGTACCTAGTGCACAAGTTGATATTTTACAGATTTTTTGATATATGGGTTTTTACGTAATAAACCTTCCTTTATACATTTAACTGGCTCATACGCACTGGCTCATGTATGTTGTTTAATGCATATACAAGATCTTGTTTAGGGACAAGCAAATACATCCATCTTCTATAATTTTATACCATGGAGAATCAAAACTTAATATTGTCGAAAGACCGTGTGAGGAGCAATTCCTTCGTTGTACATGCTGTTTATATAAAGCACTAATGAGGTTGTAAATATATCTTCCTGATGCAAGTCTATTACAATTAAAATTTCATTAAAAAAGTTACACCAATACATACTAAAACGTGATGAGCGTTCTTTTTTTGCGAAAAACTGACTTGATTGTTACACTAACCTCACAAATCGAACGCCGAATTAAAAGCCTCTCAAAATGACAGACTTAACGCTAAGCGTGGTTTAGTGCTGTATAGGCCAGAATGCATACAAAAATAGAAACTTGAGCCCGCTGAAACCTTAAGCCGAGCTTATCCATATACGGTGCATACGGGCATAAAGCATGATTGCATATTTTAGATAGATCCTAGAAATTCGAAAGTTTTTCACAATAACCTGACAAAAGCATCAACTCGACCGCAAACTCGTGACAATAGATCGTGATAATATCGTTTTTATCCTTACATAATAATATTTAACTTTTATAATTATTATCCGACGAAAAACTAAGATAATTGAGATTTTGACTAGGTATCAGAAGATGAATCGGAAACTTCTTCACCGCGCCGACGCAATTTTTTCTTCGGTGTTTTTGTCGTATATGTCTGTGTGAATAATATGTTTTCTCACTATTCACTCCTTTCGTTTATTTTAAATCTAAAACAAAAAAAAATCGTCACCGTCTGGGTGTATCATACAACTTCGTTTCAGAATTCTCAAAGAATTGGTATATCATTCCAAACAAGCAATAAGAATTCCGAGAAACCTTATCACAAGAATAATGATCGCAATCTAGAGTGTTTAGTTTCTGTGATAAAACTGTCGAATATATTTTACTAGAAATACTATAGTTTGGAAATAACGGATTTCAAGGTATCACCGTCTGTGATTATATTACATCATACTATGATTAATTTTTTTTGACTAAACTATAGATGTGCTGACTGAAGCCATGGAACCAAAATTATTAGTATTATAAAACCAACAGACCAGACTGTAGAGAGTAGAATCTGGTTTCAAGTTAGTTTATATGATTCACTAGATTTAAAATACTTATAAAGAGACAATACAGATATGGGTGCAATTCAAATAAAATACTTATATCTACTAAAATTAATTTCTACCAAAAAATCCAAAAACAACAAAGCACATAAAATATAAGACAGCAGCAAAAAAATAATGGATACCAAGAATAATGACAATGTGATATTAAAGAGAGAACTCGACAAATCTGATTCCACAAAATAAAAATCTAAACTAATTCAAATTTCCAATATGCTGAGGTGATTTTACCAGGCACTGCCCAATACTTAACATCTAGGTACCATACTGTTTTGAGTAGGTCAAAATGTAAGAACTATTTACTATGTCGTAAATATTTCAACTCATGAGTGTGGCTTCCTGAATACAAATACAATATCCGACATGCCCGAATATTTGTTATACCGACCTAAGTAGTAACATAGCCGTTCTATTCCGACCTACTTCTAGTAAGGGTAGATTCTCATGTTGACGGACGTCACCACTAGCCGTTAACTATTCGTGAATGTATAGCACTTATAACATATTTGCACATTAACTGATTTTGTTTGTATCAGAGCCCTAAAAATGCGTTGATGTGGACAACAACCATCACCATTTTCATGCCATTTGTCCATTCTATTGATTGTGGAACAGATCTACAACATTAAATTGGACTGTAATATCAACTCTCTTGATTTTATTGAAATAAAACAAATATTCAATGCTTCTTATTCTCTCTCCAAATTTAATCTACAAGATATTTTACATCGAGACTAGAAATATTACAATATAGTACAGCGTTTCTTAGACTGTGACCTACGGCTGATTCTAGTATAACTATCGCTCCGATGTGTTTCTATTCTAGATCTAGACTTTCTCATAGTTTTGGAAGCAGTATTTTCCAACAATAAACTATAGCTTGAATCTACACTTGAACTGTCGACAGACTTGAGTCTTGATTTATGTTCCAATATCGAGCTGGATCGTTCAACTATTCCTAAAATGACTTCCAATCACTTTCTTGCAGTGGGGAAAAAGTTGCCCTTGATATTGAAGTTGCAAATATGCAAATATCAATCAATAGTTTGCTGAGTTAAGGCAAAATGGGGTCCTAAGGAATACATTTTACAACTAAAAAGTCAAATACGATTATTTACAAAACAACACCACCTAAAATGTTCTGGGATTTTGTTAATGGAAGTTTGAAGAGTATTTAGGAACTTTGGCAAAATAAACATTTCCGTGTTTTCATTTTCTTTTTCGGGGTCGACCACGTCACATTTTGTACTTTTTCAAATATTAAGTCATAACTCGAAAACTATCAAGTTTGTAAAAAAGCTCATTAAGAAACTTTTTTGCTCAGGATGAACAAAAGAAAACCTAAAAAAGGTTGTCCTGAACGAAAAAAAAAACATTGGAATTTGATTAAAAAACTTTTAACGCAATTTGGAGTCCGGTAACATATCGATTCCTTGATTAAGATTATGCAAAAAATCAGAATATTTTTCTGAGCAGATACACAGATACTTCCTGAATTATAAGTACGAGAATTCGGACTAACCTGGTGTGTATACTGGTACGTCACCCTGGTTGAGCGCCGCGTTCTCCCCTTGTTGCTGCGGGGGAGGAGGCATGGCGTACACGGGGGCGCTGGGAGGCTTTTTATTGGGGGACGGCTGGCTAGTAACTGGAGGGGAACCGCCGCCTCGGTCATCGTCTGATCCGTCATCCTAGAACACAAAATGGGAGTATGTTGTACACTATCGATGAATTGCAACAAACAAAAAATGAGGCTAGTAGAATGCCTTAACACTTCCAATTCACGCAGGGATCAACTTAAAAAATCCCCAACAAAAATAAATATGTGAAATCAAGAGACAAGTGGGTATATGCTTCCCAAACGATGCAACACACAATGAATCCACGGTTTCTAAGGCAGTTTATATCAACAGGGAAAGACTTTATAAAACAGGGTTGTATGTATTACTAAGGAGGTCATTCTCCATTCAAGTACCTTGTGACCAGGCTTGACTTTCAAGATGTCTCCGTGGCAGCATAGTTAACTTCGTGCAACGAATTCGAGCAGATTAGAAACAGCCAAGCCTATATGTTTAGATTGCATTGTTTGCCGACAAAATCGTGTAGTTTTAGTATATACTTTTGACTCATTTGACTACCAAAGCCTACCAAAGTGACCGTGTTGTATCAATACAATAATAATACTCACTGGTGGAAACATCTACCTTCATTAGGCTTGTGCTGCTCTTTGCACAATTATCTACAAACACACGCACTTTTAAAAAATAATGAATTTAATGACAGAACTGTTGAAAAGTTAACTTAGGTCAAGTGCATTTGTAGTATGCACTTTGATCCTTTCTACAGACTATGAGAATTGAAAAACAAACAAATCCTTGACTGGCTCCTTCTACCTAGTCTGAATTCGTTGCTCGCAACAATACCATTATCAACAGGTGTTTGTAGGTGAAAATTTCAGTTGAAATTATCCCAAGCAGTTTTCTTCGAAATGAGTTCGAACACATCTAAAAATTATCCTGTGGTTTACGTATCGATAATCCCCTATGCTTATCTGGCCAATAAAACCAAATGTACTGACAGATCTTCTTTACTGTAGTAAACGTTTCAATCAGTACAAACTATCCATTAATCATTAGCCATTGTTACAAGACGTGTTAGTTTATTCCTTCATCTCGACATCAAAAGATCATCGTCGATTTAAATTTAAATCTCTCACATTACCTCCCTTAATTTACATGCATCAAAATTATATAATACAGGTAACAACATGAAATCCGTAATAAAGATTTTGAAGAGTATTACAGAAAAAATCCTCAAAAGAAAACTCGACTATGACCTATCTGACATATCAAATATATTTAAAAATAATGTCTATATATGAGGCATCTATGACGGTGTTATTCGCATGCAACTTGTAAGCAAAACAATTAAAACCGAAAATAAAATGGAGTCAAGCAAGGTAGGTGATTCGCTGGAGACCATTGAGCGTTCTATTTCAATACAGTGAGTACTTACCCCTTTACCTGGCTGCATTGTGATTGGTCCATGATCGGAACTGGTACCCTGATCTCGCTGAAAACATCACTACATTTCAGAACCACCAACGGGCGATAATAATGTGAGGGAGAGTGGGAAAATGAAATGGTGTATCAAAAGAAAAAGGTAATATTGAAAAAAATAACTTTTCAATTCAAGAAACAGGATAGGTACCATTTTGCAGAGGATTTTACTTATTTATTTGTTAGAATTAGAACGCTTCTATCACCATTCATTTTTGTTTCAAATTACATGTTAATTGAATCTTACATCTTTTAGGTTTATTTTAATAAACCATCTAGGAAAATCGACAGAATAACCAGAAATAGAGAAAAACAATTTTAAATCTCAGATAGCAAATAATTTAATAACGTAATAATCAACCAAGATTGTTAATCTAATTGAAGGGTGTAGCGCAAAAACCGGTTAGCTCCATCGTTTATAATTTGACAGCTTCCACAAAAACTTTAAGTAAAAAAACTAACCAAACAAAAGTATGTACCAAACACTCTGTATACTTTTAAGATAATGTAATGGATACTGATAGAGATTTCTGATGGAAAAAAGACGTGCGCTATAGTTTTTTTCATCATGTGCAATAAAAAAAATGCCGTCAAGTAGGTTGACTCTGCACTTCCTACGCTATGACGCCAACAGTTCATAAATTATTAAGTTTAGCACAGGTTAAACCCTGAACCGATCAAGCCAGTCATACAGGTCCATAAATCCATTGACATTCCTACCATGCCCTACCGTTACAGAAGTAAGGGGTTGTCGTCAGATGCGGCAGCACCCAACGACGCACCGTTGCAGTACGAGCAGAACAATCAAGTAGATCGTTACGCTGGGTGCTGAGACGCATATCGAAAACATTTCTCATATCATGAAACATATGATGTGTGAAATATGGTTGATAAGTGCTCAGAATTATCGGGGCTGGAAGCGTTTGAATCTAATAACATAAAAAATTGAGATATGCAGCAGCTCGTTACGCCGGGTGCAGAAGGAGACGCACATAAAAAAATCTAACTTTTAACGACAAATATATGAGAAAACCTTTGATGTGTTAAATATGGCTAATAGGTTCATAGAATTATCGGGTCTGGGAGCGTATAAATATAGCAATATAAAAAATTGGGAAATACCTTCCACCAAACCCACCCCTAATTTTAACCCCTATTTTTTTTTCAAAAATGATGATCCTCTAAACTAAAACGTCAAAAAACAATGTCTGATCGATTTTTATTTTTTTTCATGTTTGACTTTTTTCTCCGCCACCACTGGACCGATTTTCAAAAGCTACAACGCTTTCCATCCTTAGCCTAGTAGTAACCTAGTGCAAAAATTTCATCCAAATCTCCAAGTTGTAGACGGGCCAATGATTTACGGAGAAACAGACAGACAAGAAATGAGTGACATAATTTTTCGCAATGCACATGTCATATAACATCCAAAAAACATGATATCGCATTTTCTAAAATTTTCGCGATTGCAATACTTCCTGCGCTACGCACAGTGGCCCATAACAAAACAGCAGGATTACTTCATACAAAAATCCTCATCAGAGCTTCAACAGTCTTCCTTTCTGGCCTGTGTAAATTTTTTGTCAGACAGATTTTTCTAGTTGCAGTGTAGCATTTGCTCCAGACTCTACCTCAACTACAATGCAGTTCTCTAGTTTGACGCATATCTGGCAGATGTCTGTTCTAGGGTGTCCGAAACTTATATTGTAGTTTTGAATGAAATTTCTATGATACAAATTGTATAAACCTTCAGGAGTATTTTTGGTGGAGCTGACCGGCAGAGGTATTACGTAACACAGCGTATATAATGTCAACAAAATCGATAGAATGTGCCTTTTTAAGTTACGTAATGAGGGAGCTGTTTTTGCAAAAAACCCTTCAATTATCACCGAGATCAAAGGGCTATCCTATCCAAATTTTTTATGCCCTGTAATTTTTTTCTGATCCACTTCCGACCTTCACATATATTGCTATACGAAATAAGTGGATATTCTAAAACAGTAAGTTATCTTTACATCGAGAACAAAGCATAATCAACTGTTGAATGTTTTGCACAGCTGAATATCCTAATGATATTAACTAAATAGAAGTCATCTTATCCAGAAATGAGCTGCTGACGCACACGTTTATATAACTTTGATCAAAACTTCGTCAATTTCAATTATAATGCCATTTCCCCTTGAAAGATCCATCGTCAGTTACAGATTTGTCGTGAGATAATGCATAAGACTCTTAAGCTAAATATAAAGTCGGCATATATCAGTTGCAGAGCTTACAGGTCCGTTATTTATTATTGGAAATATAGAGGGTGTTTCCTAACTACGGTAAAAAACTTAAGAGGATGTTTCATTAGGTCACTTTAAGAAAAAAGTTCCTACCAACACATGTCCGTAGTTGCTTCGTATCTAAGATACAAGGCGTTGAAGCTTAAAAAACGGTATTTATGCATGATCATCAATATCCCTAAACCAATTTGGGGGAAATTTGGTGTAGTTATTTGAAGTAATAAGGTCGAAGTTGTTTAATTTTTCATGGTTCTTGTTTTATGTTGTCCATGGACAGTTTTTAGAGTAGGATAAAGTGATTATTATTTTTATTTCTCGGAAACGAAGCTAGATATAAACAAAACACTGGAGACCAAAACGTAGTATACAAAGATGCATAATCTAAAAAAATATAAAACTACAAAAATTTCCTTGACGCACTCTATTCTCAAAAATATGGCTGTTACGAGGGATGTCTTTTAAGTTTTGCATATAGAAACATAGTAGGCGGCGCGCATCGAACGTCAATACTGAATCTTAACCTCACTCTTTAGTGAACTTAAATTCAAAGTTTCACAACAATACGTGCAGTGTTCTCACTACAGTGAATTTTTAAGTGTCACCAAGTCATTAGAAAAATGGAACTCAACCGAGAACATTTTCGCGCCATAATGTATTACAACTTTCAGAGACAATTATCGCAACAAGAATGCCTTGCTGAGTTACTGTCCGTTTTCGGCAACGAAGCGCCACATCAGTCGACAATTTCCCGTTGGTATGGAAAATTCAAACGTGGACGGGTGAGTCTTAGTGACGATCCCAGGGTGGGTGCACCAAAAACGGCAGTCACCCAGGAAAACGTCGATGCTGTGCGCAAAATCATAATTGAAGATATACATGTGACATATCGTGAGATTGAGGCGTCCTTGAAAATCTCAAAGACCTCAATTCAAAAAATTTTACATGAAGAATTAGGAGTAAGAAAATTAGTTTCTTGTTGGATACCCCACCTGTTGACTGAAGAGCAGAAAGCAGCCAGGGTTAATTGGTGTCAAAAAACGCTTTACCGTTTCAATTCCGGAAACTCAAAAAATGTGTACAGCATTGTTAGTGGTTATGAATGGTGGATTTACTGTTATGAACCAGAAAATAAACGACAGTCGGCTGTTTGGGTGTTCCAAGGTGAAGAAAAGCCAACAAAAGTCATCCGTTCTCGAAGTGTTTCGAAAAAGATGGTCGCGACATTTGTGTCAAAAGCGGGTCATATTGCAACAATTCCTCTTAATGAGCAAAGAACTGTTACTGCGGATTGGTATACCACCATTTGTTTGCCAAAAGTCATCACCGAGCTTCGAAAAATCAACCCCGAAAGAAGAATCATCCTCCACCAAGACAATGCAAGCTCGCACACAGCCCAATAAACAAGGCAGTATTCAACGGAAGAAAACGTAGAATTATTGGACCATCCTCCATATAGTCCCGATCTAAGACCTAACGATTTCTTTACTTTCCCGAAAATTAAAAACACACTGCGTGGTGAAAGGTTCCAGTCACCAGAAGAAGCAGTTGACGCATTCAAAAATTCCGTTTTGGATCTGCCAGCAAACGAGTGGAATAAGTGCTTCGAAAATTAGTTCGAGCGCATGCAGATGTGTATTAATCTTCGTGGAGAATACTTCGAAAAACAATAAAGTCATTTAAAACTACCTACCGTGTTGTTTTATTTCCATATGCAAAACTTAAAAGACATCCCTCGTATCTCGCCATATTCAAAGAAATTATTATTATTTTTACTTCAAATAATTGCACCAAATTTCAATCAATTCGGTTTAAGGATATTTATGATAATTTATATCGTTTTTTTTTAAACTTCAATATCCTGAAACGAAGCAACACCGGTTGTTGATAGCTACTTTTATTCTTAAAATGACCTAACGAATCATCCTCTGAAGTTTCGTACCGTAGTTATTAAACACCCTCTATACAGGGAAAATCAAATTTGTCTGACAGCTTGAGTTCAATGATTGTACGAGAGAGATGCGCAAGAAGTATGTATCAACACATGTTAGAACGAGATAAAAGCCAGCTGAAGAGCGAAGGTCATCACCACATTTTCAATATGGTTACACCAAAAAAAGTTCGCACAGGCTTCTACAATAGGGCAGGTTACTGTCAAACCCAAGGACGTCTGTTTGAACATTGAATTTAATCAGCATGAGATAGCGCGAAGCGCCATCTATCGCACCATAATCGAACCACTGTAAATCGCGAATCGCTGCTATTAGTCGGAACCGTCGCAGTTCCCGTTTAATAGCCGTGCCGCTAAATGGCTGATGATTCTGTTAGAATGCAGAGGGGTCTGCTAGCTATTGATTTTGTTTTGACCTATCGAATTTAATATTTTGTTTTCATTTCGATTAGATTTATTTATTTTAATTTTGATGCCACTTAGTGTTTTGATTTATTTTAGAATTATCTTTGATGTTGATAAAATCAACACATCCTGAGTTATTGTTACATTTTGTGACAGCGTTGGGTTCGGAAAATGTAACAAATGATGTTACGCAATGCAAATTATCACTCCATGTGTGTACGCAGGTGAAATCCATTTCGAAGCAGGAAGACACTCCCCTACGAGCGCTAGATGGGTACTGACCAAAATTGCTGAACTATGACAATGGTGGTGAAAACCTTGCCTTGGAACGTGCAAGATGCGATGTTATCAAACGAACCAATGATGCAATGTTGCAGAATTTATGAGGATCCTGACCTTTCTTTTCTATCTAAAATGGAGCACCGTTAGGACCGATCGGGAATCAATCCTAAATAGATTCGACACAATCCAAAAATGTGTACGCTCAAAATAAAACGATTATTTGGGCGTAAAGAATAAACTAAGGCATATTTTCAATATGTATTTTAATTGAAGAAACTGGTGCAACATATTGGCATCGCGGCACATTGCCGCGTCAGCGTCGTTAGGCATTGCGGTGATGAGCTTCGCTATCCAGCCGGCTTCTATCTCTTTCTAACACATGTGTCTATACCCACTTCTCTCTGGTACACATTGAGATCAAGCCGTCAGACATATTTGGTTCTCAGTGTATGTATGATAAGTAAACTAAGTCGGAGTCCGATGATATTCAAAACTTAGTTACACTAATGAGTATCATGGCAACTGTTTGCCCATTTTTTAATCATTCCTTCTGATAACACATCTTCACGCACCTTCGCAGGTTAGTACTACTACTACCAGTTCCAGGAATGCACATTTTAAACTTCTTACATATTTTCCTGTACGAGCAGTGGTTTACAGGATTTTGAATGACTACAGACTACTTTTATTAGCCAACGACTCAAAAGCATAAAGAACTTGTCTTAATTTGGTGGATTTCTATATTTTTGTTTTTTGTTGTTTTCGCCAATGCAATGATTTTATAAAATACAATATATGAGAAGAATACTTATTTTAGACTGTATTAGGCCATATGCCATATTCGGTCTGTTTAATCGGGTTAGAAGTAGACGAGAACATTGCCGTGATGTCGGGTATAATAGACTTTGATGATTCATGAAAACAAAGACTATATCGGTGAAAGCTGATAAGAGACACGTAAAAATAATTTACAGCATGAATAATACAATGAATCACAACAAAATGAACTTAAAATTGTTATCGAAAAAAATGTCGTTCTCTCAGATCTCGCAACGGGAAACCTTATAATTAACCTAGTGCATGCTACACTGAACTATATGGAGTGTTAGTATGACATTCTTTTTTTAAACATACATACACATTAGAAACAAATTACGTGATATATGTATACACAGAATATGTATGTCAATTAAGTATTTTCACATCTGTAACATCTGAGTCAGCGTTTTCGTTCTCCAATAATATGGTACATGGTTCCATAGCCATGTCTTGTATGACGTCATAGTCAGTACTACCTCAAAGTGCGGATTCCCGTAACACAACGACTGAGGTGAGGTCGAAGTTTAACAGCATGAATCGGACCTGCTATCCCTTCCTTGATTCGTAAATCCGCCTTTTCATTTTTCCTACTATCAAAGCATGTATAGAATTGCAGCTATGTTAGTAGTGGTATCCTGTATTTCAAACTGTTGTCCAACACTTTTAAACTAAACCTCCAGGACGTCATAAACGACACATGGCATTGATAACGTATCGCTTTTGAGAACAAAAATCCGGCCCTGATCAAGAGCTGTTTCTCTAAGTGAAAAGCATAGATACAAAACAGAAAAGTATGTGATGGAAGTTCCTAAAACTGAGATGTGATGTAATACAGGCATCTCAAATTAAACTTGTGGTTATTCAAAAAACTACACACTATTTTGAAACACACATGATTTTATAATGTGTTATTTTACCATTTTCTAGACATAATTTAAGATACCCGTTTCCAACTATTATTGAAATACTGTACCTGCCACCACCAAGCGTGCCACACTTTGTCTGATCAGTTACCAAACAAAAATGTTTATTGTTTCACTATAACTTACCTGCTTTTAAAGATGTACTTCACAAAATTTTGAGAAAAAGTGCAACATCGCAGTTAGAATAAAAATAGCGCATAGCATACAAATGCATTACTTCTTTGGTTTATATTTATAAAAATCATGCATGAAATAATGTGACATATGATCCCTTAAATAAATACCAAATAAACTTGCAGCGACTGAGGTAAGTACACTCAATGATTAAAAGTTGCTTAGAGTTTTCCAAGCAATACATGTGCAATAGGAATATTAAGGTATTTACCACCCAAGAGTGTAGCTCCTACATAGTGTTGATAAGACTGTCATAAACAGCTCCATCAAAGTTATAAATCAGTGCTTCTTTAGAACTAATTAAAGCAATGAATGAAAAAACTCATATATGTATATACAGTTAATTTTTTCAAAGCATGCTTTTTTGTAAGTCGTAACACCTGTGCAATGTGAGGGTGCGTAACACAAGACTTACGTTCAACGTGTGATAGTCGCCGGTGTCCTCTGGTGGCCTCGGTTTGCATTTTCCGCAACAGCAGTTACAGCAACAACACAGGCAGCAACAACAGTAACAACCAGTCAACAGCCCGCAGAGGAAAAATAATGCCTGGAAATATAAATTGCGATATATATTTTATCTAACACAATGATTTTTTTGACATATCCTGTTTTTTTAAGCAACAGTGTATCAAGAATCATTCATTTAGGGTGACTTTGTTCCCTGCTTTGTTCTGTGTAATATTGGGTGTGCTACAACACCGAAGATTACCTCCTCCTCTTACGTGGCTGCATCAACGTATGAAAACTATCAAGAGGCTTTTTCTAGTAGCTATCGACGTTTCTGAAATAAGTTTGAGTGCAGCCTTTTTCGCTAAAACAGTAAATATTCCTAGGTTTTTCATATGAAATATGTGATCATAAAATTAACTTCGCCTTTAGTGATGTGACTGATGGATGACGAATATACTCCCTCACTTTTTTTTATTTATAATGAGAACGACCCAAGCAGCGACTTTTCTATCACGGAATTGTTAATGAATACAGTACCCCGATAAGTGATAAAACGCTGCCCACTTTATGTTGGTTATTATACTACCCTTTTACCATTGTCCACGGCTGGTCATGCAGATCTATCCTTCTTCGAAGGACTTTTCGCAATACACAAATTACTACTGTATTATATTTTCGGTGACATTATTTCCAAATACGAATACTTATAATACAATCGTTTTTATTTTTCACTTACTGTACATTCTGTTTTTTAACGTATCGCGCTGTTGTCAAGTGTATCACAGACTTACCTAAGCTTGGCTTTACCTTTTACGGTGCATAGCTTGCAATAATAAGCTGACATTAATTATTGAGCAGACCTTTTGTAAGCGGAGCTTAGGCGGAAAAAGGTATATACAGGCATTAATTAAGCTCTTCACGATCATCATCATTATTTGTTCAAAACGGTCACTTTTCCATTTGTGGATCAATAGGCAACAAAATGTTCAATTATTCATGTATTGTAATTCATGAATCATGTAGCCGTAAGAAATATCAGGGACACGGCATGTCGGTATCACATGAATGTATCTTGAATTATTATTTTAATGCTGCTGTTAGAATATTTACTTTAACGCAGTATTTCGTAGGGCTTACATTTAACAGAATATGTTTTCTAGAAATATCAGTCGATGGGGTATTTAAAAAAAAATGATAAAAGATTGTTTCTAAAAATATATATCGAGTATCCTCACATTTAGCTATGAGCGGGAAGTTTCAAACCACCAGTCCAAACTTCAAACTCAAAATTCCTCGAAAAAGTTATGACGGGGAGAATTTATTGTAACGTAAAAAGTTTTACAACGGTATAGTTTTATCAGATGTGAAAAATAGCATTTTTGTGTTAACAGTTTGACTTCATCTTTATGGCCACTTATTATCAATATCCGAATTAAAAATCAAATGCTAATTTTTCAAATGGGAAATGAGAAGGATTTGAATCTCTCTTTCAAAGTACAAATTCCGCGAGCAGGAAAGGTAGGAAAAACTGCGTCAATCTTGAAAAGTAGGTGTATATGATTTATATGAGCAACATCGATACATCATAGCGCCAAAACATCTGCAGACCTAATATATTTTTATATAATTATAAATTCAAAATTCGGCGTGCCCCCTATAAAATCAATGCCACATAGTGGATGAAAGAATATTTATAGAACCAATCTATAGGCAATAGAATATTTGCATAGTATAACACGAATTACCTTCAAATTCTGAATTTCACTTGGTAATACCAGTAAGAATCGATATACTGATATCTCTAATGATTCAAAACATTATGAAAATTAATTCACTAACATTTCGAATTAGATACCAAAGTCATTAATAACAATAATGGTATCGCATTTTATCTATAGGTAAATATTGAGTTCGACATAAACACGTCAAATATTACGATATAGCTACCACTAATACCAAAGTTCATAAGAATAAAGTAGATGCAGAAAAAACATCTCCCATATTCAAGTATTGGTGAAATTCGTTGACCCAAATGGTACCATTATCCGAATCTCGAAGGACAAGCCAAATGTGTGGCATGCCACATGATACTTGTAGTATTTCATTTATCTCACCTTCAAGATAATGGCCAGGAATCTCAAAAATTGAAAAAAGAAATACCGTTTGCATTTCACTCAATCTTATTCCACGCGTTTGTTTGTTATATATGGTCTAGCCCTACGCCTTCTCACGTCGGAAAACGACTCTGGAATTTTGATTTTCATTAAATCTTATATTCGCTCTATTATTAATAAAGTGAATGGCGCTTTCACAATTCTACTGGGTTAAACGGCAGATAGAGTAATGAGTTTTGCATTCACAGAGACTGCATACATAAACATTAGCTACAATGTTATATTGATATGTATGCCAACGATTCATGTGACAAATGTCAAAACAGGATGACGTTAAAGTTTACGTGTGTGGTATTTATGGTTGCAAAAACTATCTGTTAACGCGACGGAAATCAGTAACATAATTTTTTATGTACATCTTAAACGTCAAAAAAACTGTTTGAAGCAAATATAAGCATTCGATCGCCGCTTCATGCTCGTCACTGGCGGAGCATGCACTCATCGCCTGCTAACCAATAGCAACACAGGAATCTGAACGTCGCACGCTGGCGTATGTTTTGACGGGAGCGAATGAGATTCCAATAAACAGTTCATTTCTGTTCCCTATCTGGATAACCCAGCGACGCCAATGAGTCTTAGTATTGCACATGTAGTGAATTATACTATCGTCTTTATTTGCAACTGCACCTCATAACATTGTACACTTTTGTGTGATGAAGTAATATTACAAAAGGCAAAAAGAATTATTATTAAAAACAAACTTACTTCTCCACTACACCCTAACAGACTGGCACTCTCGAAATAGGAATATAATATAGTAAAATTCAAATTATCAGGCATTCTCTCTACATTGTATCACATTATAACTGACTGGCATTGATTGTTTAATAATAGATATCTTCCGACGAGTGAAAGTCATCTGGATATGAAAGTCTAACCTAACATACACATTTTATCTTCAACTGGTCGACGTTATAGTTTATCTGAGATGATTTAAATATATAAATACGCGGGAGCTATCAAGGAGATGATAAAATAAATAAACGTTTGTTTTTATACCGATTTCCTAACAATTTTTCCAATAAAAGCTAATATTCCTATGCTACCAAAGGTCAAATCAAGTACCCGTTTAACAGTAGCGGTACTAGCGGGTAATTCAGGTATGCACTGGCTAACTCAAAATCACAAAGGAACAATTGTTGTAAAGCTGTGTCTTGCCAAGAGGGTGAGCTAGATCTTTCTCATCCAAAACAGGGAATTTAGAATGACGAAACATTGCTAGTTATGTTTCTCTCATAAACTCCTTTAATTTGATACCTATAACATAGGGGTGACTACGGTAATTAAAAGCACCATTTTGAAGCGGACGCCGCAATATATATTACCCCCTACAGAGCGGGACCGTGGCAAATGCTTGTTCCGGAGGTTGTTGTCCCCAGTATACAATTTCTTCCTGATTGATGCACACGCGCTAAGGAATGCTTCAGTACCGATTATCGGGTAGCGATACAAGTCTGCCAAAGGGTCACTTTAGGTCTATTTAACAACATTATCAAGCAAAAACAAGATGGTAGACAAGTAGCAGTCGATGGAGGCGGTACCACCAGCTAGCTTTTTCCAGGGTGGCTTAAGACGGCTTTTGGTATAGGCGTAGAACAAGTCATATATAGTATGTTGCCAAAAGTATTAAAATTGCAAAGCATAATAAGGAGTGGTTTGTAATGATACAACGGATTTTTGATTGTGGGAAAGATGGTACACCATCGGTATCGCTCGAGATGTATAATGGTATAATGTGCTATGGTCAACTATATGAAGGCAGTAATATTCTTATTGAATCACTTACTCAAAGAACAACGGTAATCCCAAACAGAGCTACACAAAATACACGATTTACTTAAAAAATTATCATTCTGGTCTTATATCCGGTCTCATACAACTACAAAGCAAGAAATGATCAAATGGTTGTATAGCTACCAGTTTTCCTTTATGCAGTGAACATATCTTAGTTCACATGTAATATCCCTTACCATGGTTCGTGCCTTATCATAGAGATAAATTACTACATGATCATAACAAACACTAGCTGTGAAGTAATCGAACCCGTAGTATGTATTATCCTACGACTAGTAAGGGTTCTGTGGCGGATTTAGAGCCCCCCTAGAAGTCCAAGTTAACCATTTTTCCCCAAGAGAGTTTTATATATTGCTATATCTTGGTCTAAAAATTACCTTGTTAGACCTGAATTGTGAGACGTAAGCCAAACTCTGGACGTACGCCATACTCCTCTGTTCAATTGTCATAAGACCCATTTGATCTCAGGCTTAGGTTCCTGAACATGCTTCAGCCACCCCCGCTCCTCAGTTTTTAATCGATATGGCTTATCAAGGTTTTTGGCAGCTCATAGTCAAACAAAATGAATTACTTTCACACATACATGTTCCTCCCATATATAGGCAATCGGCGTCTATTCGCGGACGTTTGTATGAGCCCAAAGTGATACTTTTTTGGTCATACTGTCTCACCGCCGCGTAAATTTTCCCGTCAACGTATCAGCCTTATACATGTATGCGTGCAACTGTCAGTATGGTAACTTGCTTGACATGGGCGTGTGATCTGACATAAAACTTTAAGATAAATCTACAATGTTGACAGTCTGAGTTAGATGTATTTTCAGGGAATGTGTGTATGTACAAGGGCGCATAACAGCTGCGTTACGAATCGGTTTCCGCAGTGTGCAATTCCCTTAGGGACCATTATTAAATACGTTTTTTTTTCATGGAGATTACCTATGGAAGCATAAAGCTTTGTAAGATTTCAAAGAGCTAGGCCGAACAGCCTGGAGACGCGCTCAAAGTTTGTAGGTTCAGAAAAAAATGTGAATCTTAGCGTTTTGGCAACTTTTCTATTTTCTCGCAAGTCCTGTCCCTGGAAAACATCATGATCTATATTATATATTTCGAAATAAAATTGTTCAAAGAACTAATAAATAGGCTTCAAATGGCGATCTGATTTGTTTGACAGATATTTTAATAAAAAGTGATTTTATTCGGAACTTTTCATTGTTTTATTGGGCAGTCAATTCGAATTCCTTCCGAAACAAAAAGTGTATTTTTTTTAATAAAGGAGAAGGATCAACCCATCGCATCGCTCTATACAGGGTGTCCGCAAAGTTGGGGTTTTCCTTTTCAGAAACAACTACCCTTGAAATAACAAAGGTAATGTGTAGTGAAACGAGGGCGACCAAGTAAAAAAAATAAAGGAAAAAGTACTCACTCTCCAGTCGACGAGAAGGGCTAAGTACGTCTCTGCCCGAAATCATACCGCTCCAACAGAAAATGAAATCACCTGATGCGCTACCGAGCAGACGCAGAAACCACATTGATTGTCTTACACTTAATGGCACATCTTCTAACAAGGAAGGCAAAATGTTGCGTAAAAGGTCTAGGTATTGCATCCCGTCCAATCGATGTGGGAGAATAAATGGTCCAATGAGCATACCGTTTACCATGCCAGCCCAAACATTCACCGAAAATGTTTGTTGAAAATGTGCCCGACGGACAGCGTGCGGATTTTCTACTGACCAAACATGAGTGTTGCGAAAGTTATTCACCCCATTACTCGTGAACGTAGATTCGTCTGTCACCAATATGCACTTCAAAAAGTCCGGATTATTGTCATGTTGATGCAACAACCACTCACAAAACCGCACTCTTGCTGGAAAATCGTCAGGTTGAAGGGCTTGTACACGTTGGACGTGAAACGGATAGAGCCCCTCTTCACGCAGCGTTTGCCACACTTTAGTTTTTGATACTCGCACTTCTCTAGCCACGTCTCTAGTGCTTGTTGAGGGAGTCTGGTCTACGCGATTACCTCTACACGCGTGACCGTAACCGTCGGTTGAAGGTTGCATACTGACCTGACACACTGACCCCGACCCAGTTCTGTCGTCGGATTGAGCCAGTGACCTTGTACCAGTCGGTGATGTCGCGGCTACAGGACGGTATTCAGATATTTTTGATGTTGCAGAGCCCTTTATCTCGGTTCCCTTAAGACATTGGTGTATATGGTACTAAGAAAAATTGCTTATGTTTTCAAGATCTACACGATCTACACGTAAAGGAAAACCCCAACTTTATGTGTCGAGTTTTGTTTCCGGGTCTCTAAATTGGCCAAATTGACCTTTAAAGCCAATTTTAGGTATTCAACTCCAACATTTACCATTTTCATCGTGCTCGAGGACGTATATGGATGTTAATGGAGATTCTGCTAATTAAAGAGGTTAGTTATCTACAACATTGTTTGAATGAGGAAAGTTGCGTAATATAAATGCCTTCCCAAGATGGCTGCCTCATTCTGATTTTGAGTTAATTTTGAAAAACAATTTTACAAATTTTCGAAATTATATTTTTTCATATAACTGTAAACTGTATGTGGAAGGTATATTACGCAATTTTTCCCCTTTTATACTGAACTATCGTTTTTTTTAAATATCTCTGCGATTGGCAATTAACAGTAAGTACTGTTTTTAATCATTTGTAACATAACTGATCGGCTCAATTTCCAATCACATCCATATACCTCCTCGAACATGAGAAAAGAGATTTTGGATCAGAATATCTAAATTCACTTTAAGGATTCGACCAGTTCAGAGATCCGAGAACAAAATTTAACTTACATAGAGCGGTAGATTTGAAAAAAATAATTTTGTAGCCTTTCTGTTTCAAAAGGAATTCGAATTGTCGGCACAATAAAACAATGAAATATTCCAAAAAATCACTTTTAACTGAAATATTTACAGAACGAATTCTCAGATCCCACTTTGGAGGCTGTTTTTGATTTTTTACAATTCTGCTTCAGAATAGTCACATATAGTGGCGAGAAAATGATAAAGTTGCCAAAAAGGTTAAAATACACAAATCCCCGACCTTTGAAACTGAACGTGTCTCCTGAGCGGACCGTTCGACCTAAGAATTTGAGATTCCACAAAGTCTCATGCCTACAGAGGTTCTTTTCAGAAAAAAAAATTATAATGGTCAATTTCGTCCAGAATATCAACAACTGGATCAAAAGCACTATTCGATCAATTTAAAGACCGACACGGCTATTATGTAAAAATAAAACGTCATAAAAAACCAACGAAATGTCATCTTGCTGACTATGTAGTTTTTAGGGTGCACATAGTTCATTCCACGTTTGCTCGCTATGAACAGAATGATGCAGAAAGCAAGTATCTGTTTTGTGAGTCGAGTAGTCTGTAGTGTTTATCTCTGAGAAGATGTGAAAGAAAGAAAGTTGGTCGAGTAGCAAGATCGCACCTGGATGATTATGTGTATTAGTCTGCATATGTCTAAAATCACTGATATCTGCTGTGTAAGAAAATTATTACTGAATATGCTGCCAATGAAGTATATCTATTATTTATATAATGTTGTTCTTTCTGAAGACAGGTTACGTTAAAAGTTATAAATTACGATTTTTCACGATTTTTTGTTTTCAAAAACTTTGAAAAGCATTACGGCAAATCGCCACCACGAACGCGTTGTGTGCAATTAAGCCACATCTTAGAAAAATTAGGAATGACGCATCAAACTTCAAAATAAATTTCTATAAAATTTAAATGACTGGAAATTTTTTTTTGAGATATATTATCCATTTTAATAATTTTACACCATTTTTCTCTTAACATCCTGGGTAATAATTTTGCACTAAGGTCCAATAAGGTACAAGGTTTCAGTTCTTTATCCAACAAATTTGCGTAACACGTTCTCAAAATTATTGGGCTTTCAAATAATCTTATCACATAAAACTCTAAATGTTTTTGAGTAGGATAATACATACCCTTACTCAAATGTGATAAGCCACCCATAAATCAAATCCAAGCGAATAACCAAAATTTCTGTGTTATTGTACTGCGGTTATAATATGGTTTAAGATGACACACGGATTAATGACGTCAGTTACTCGAATCGCTTGAACACGTTGGTTTTAACCGCGGTTTTTTGCAAGTTGTTTATTTTAGAAAAGCGCGTATATAATTTCTGTTTATTTTTATTATCACTTAATAACCGGTGCTTTTTCGTCTACAACAGTGTATGGAAAGTTTAACAATGAAACCTTTCATAATATTAATGGTAAAATTTATTTTTTCTGAAAATAATTTTTCATGATGGAACCATGGCTTTGTAGCTATGATAACTTTCAATTCTCTAAACTTTTCCGCATGTCAAAGAAAACATTTATTAATTTAGCAGAAATGATAGGAAACAGCGATGAGAAAAAGCAAAACCGTATATAGGTGGACATAATCCAGTGAGTTTATATGGCCATATCTTAATATTCTTGTGGTATATAGCTACACAGGATACTTTGTTAAGCGGAGGAACTAGATTTAAAGTGGCCCCAACAACAGTAATGAGTATAACTAATAAGGTGCTCTGCTTTATACTACAACTGAAGTCAGCCTGTATCAAGTTTCCCAAAAATGAAGCTAAAGTACAACACAAATATCCAATACCCGGCAAAATTCTAACTTGTTACATTTCAAATAATCAGAAATATGAACCTACTCCTGAGTTGGATAAATACCACAATTTTGCGGTGATAACTATGACATATAACAGCTGATTCATGACGTCACGGATCTTATAACCAAACTGATAACCCGACTCGCTTGAAGGGATTGGTAAATACCAATCCAAAATGGTAAATACCATGGAGGTGCTGGGCTTGGAGGGGAGACAGGGGCACATGTGATATGCCTTTAGTACAAGTTTGAACTCGAGTATTTTTGATTGCCTGAGGCGATTTTTTTTTGTGAAACACTTTTTTCTGTTGTGTTCTAAGTTACTAAATTTTATATCAACAAGCATGTCAGTATGAGAAAAAAACATCAGATTCTTACCTTGCACCATGTCGAGGTGACTACAAAGTATGCGTTGACATTCTCCTCTCCGAACTGCTCAGCGATGTACAGACCCAGTGAGCCGTAGTTGTCATAGATATTACGTTTGGTAGCATCGCTGAGGATCGAGTGCGCTCTGTTCACTTCCTTGAACTTCTCTGCAGCCTCCGGATTGTTTGGGTTCTTGTCCGGGTGGTACTTTAGCGCCAGGCGTCGGTATGTCTTCTTGATCTCCTCGCTAGTTGCCGTCTTCGGCAATGCTAAAATCTCGTACAACGAGTCACCTTGCGTTCTGCAAATGGAATGTGACTATATAACTTCTAAAGCTTAGAAGTAGATGGCACACAAGTAACGCCTGATGACAGAATCGGCCATTCGGACTGTGTGAAGGTAAGCTATAAATGAGAACCGTATCGCCCATCATATTATACCATGATGATTCCCAATAAAAGTAAAATGGAACCTTAATTTTTTTGGTAGGATGTAAGCACTCTTACTTCTGAATTCTGAAATCTATCACTGAATCTAATATATGCTTATTTTCATATTCAAGTGCATACTTTTGAATTAGCTATGTGTGATAGCAATTGGCCATCAATTTGTTTTACATATATTCTTGTTAACTAACCCATAATTGCTTATGTGGCATCACTGGTTTTAAGTCATATTCTGTGTGATTTGTAATGCTCAATGTCTATGTCCCATTTCATCTGTAACATTTTTTTATACTCCAACTACCACGAAGGCCTAAGGCCTAAGCACCCATTGGGTACCGTGGGGCTATAGGGAGATACATGGGAAAGGGGGAACGCCACACGGACTCTGGCTAGGGAACACGTGTGCATGCAACATGCACACGGACAATCACAACATCCATAGCCAAGAGAAAAATTTCTCTTGGGACGGGACTCGAACCCGCACAGCGCACGGCGACTGATCAGGAGACCGAAGAGTCTACTACTGCGGCCACCGCTGCTGCCTGACTACTTTTTGAAAGATTTCTGAAAATAAGGTTCACATCTAAAACCAAATCCTTTAAAACAGCGGGAAGGTAATATTTCTCTCAAAAAATGATGGAAAACGTAATGAAGAGAGCTCTGGTATATTCCTTTGCGCGGCCACCGCTGCTGCCTATCAACAACCACTTCACGGTAAACTAAAATAGGTTAGAGAGTGTGGCTTAACTACAAGTTTGTATTTGACCCACAGGTACGGCTGTGGCTAACAGAAAATACTATTTTAGAGCAAACTTGCGGCTAACAGAAACTACTATTTTAGAGCAAACTTGACATTGAAAAAATCTTTGAGGATTAGGAAAGTGACATGTAATCAGAAATTAAGCCTCAAAAATCATTCTTGAATGTCAGGTTTGTATTGAAATGGTAGTTGACTTAAAACAGAAGACCAAAATTGACAGATAAACTGAAAATTACCAACCTTTTTTGCTTAACAGTAACATGAATTGTTATAGATGATATAGGACACAAAGTTCAAGCATTATGAACGTGTAGGTTAATGAGTACTTGAAAAAAGGATTTGCAGGAAACTGATAGTTAACTTTTAGGTTAGAGTTACCTAACGTGAAAGTTGATCAGTGATTGGAAAGCCAAGCCTAAGAGTTAGCAATGCATGAAGTATGGGTTAACTCAGTTAGTGAATATAGCTGAATATCAACAAATCTAACATATCATATAATAACCTGTTCCACATATGTGATGTCTGTCAATCAATATGTAGGCTTATGACAGTGGTACATTCAGATGACAACAAGCTGATGGGTACACCATACTTTGTGCATGAAACTGAATGTAACAAATAATTCTTGATTTGCCAAAATTGCAGTTAAAAAGGTAAAAAGGAAAATTCAAACAGACTGACAATAAATCATTTTGACTAACAATTAACAGGACCACGTAAAGTGATAAAATATCTACATATGTTATACTGTCAAAACTACATTTTCAAAATATCAGTTATTTGTTAAAGCACATGCTGCACAGTGATGTGAAAGGAAAATACAAAAAATCATTTTCCTTATACTACACAGGTATGCATTGGCTGCCTTGTAAAAAGGACAATTGAAGCCACAAATCAACAGTATTCCAATAGATTAAAAAACATAAATCCTCCATAATAAAAGAATACTTGTTCTTTATAAGTAATACATCAATATTCAAAATTATATAATCCAATAAAGCAAAGAATTTAATTCAATGGAACTGCACGTTTGTTAACCAATACCAGTGAGCTGATGTGTTGTTCTGCTATTTCCAAGTTATTATAAGATATAAAGATTCAATTTTTAATTGTTCAAACCTGAAAACTGCCAGCTTTTAATAAATAATCATTGATCAATGCTACAAAAACAATAATGAAAGTTCCATCACAATGATTATTATTCCAGTATTATTAGGATCAATTAAACTGATTCAATTTATTCTAATTGTAAATAAGTGAACTGAAATAACTACTCATACTACTTGAAGTTTAAAAGATGGAAATTCCTATTTAAAACAATTACAAATATCATATCATTTTTGATTTTCTACGTGAACCTAGCCACAGAAACAACACTATATAATGGATTATCATAAATATAGAAAAAGAACATCAAAATCTAATACTTGTCTTAAAAAGCCTGATCTAACAATATACAGGGTTATCCAAATTAAGTGTCCACCATTAGTAACTTTGTTATTAGTGAAAATATAAAGTTGTTTGAATTAGCAAACTAGTAGCATTTTTAACGCTGGTAAAAATGAGAAATAAAAAAAAACAATTGAGAGTCGTTATTTTGATTTTTTTCAGTAAAATAACATTTTTTTAAATGGAAACCCCTGTATATTATATTTTTTTCTGTTAAAGCATCAAATTTTAAACAAAAAAGTTCATAATGACTTTTCCGCTAAAGTCAAAAATAAAGTCAAAATAACGATAAATATTTTTAATTATTTGCAGTATTATAATATTAAGACGGCTATGAAAACAACATGGCGTTCGCGATTTGACAGCATTAAGATAAGCGGCAAATTGTTAAACTGGACATACTCGCAACTAGAAGGCTTTGGAAAACAATGATAAAATCAAATAATGTCTAACATTAGTGTAAATACTTGTTTATAAGCTTTATTGTGTCATTAATTTAAAGAAAAATGTTCTCCCATGAAGAAAAGTGTGATATGTTAGAATGCTATTTCGGCTCTGTGCCTACGGCCTGACCGTTGAGATTACGTTCCCTATCTACAGCTCCGGAGTCAGTATGTGTGCGTCTCTAGTCCCCCTTACCTTCGTCCTCCTCCCCTTTCTGTACGCCCATGCTCCTTGGAGCGATGCGCGCGCTGGCTAGTGGCGAGCGATTCCCCGCTCGCCCTTCAGTACGCTTTTATCTATCGCACGGATAGGGTGTGTGCGTGTGCGTATGTGTAACATCGCGAGTTAAACGTTGTGTAACGTTCGAGAGAATAATAGTATAAATGCAAAAGTAAGAGACAAAAACCTTAGTTTGACAATTTAGTGTAGATGGCTACCATTTGATATAAAATTGTCACGGTCTCGGATCACTCGGTCCAGACGTGAGACTCCCTTCTAATGCATCTTGGGCAAATTCGCTAGAGCATAATATGGGCACTTGTGTGCAAGCGCACAATGCCCATTCATAGGAAAATTGAAGGGAGTCCTGCAGCCGGATCCATCTACACAATGTTTCGGCCCGACCGGCCCGTCAAGTCGGCCCGACCAGCTGCAGACTTCGGCCCGACCGGCTGCAGACTTCGGCCCGACCGGCTGCAGACTTCGGCCCGACCGGCCGCTAAATTCGGCCCGACCGGCTGCGAATTTTGGCCCGACCGGCCGCTACGTTCGGTCCGACCGGCTGCAAATTTTGGCCCGACCGGCTGCAGAATTTGGCCCGAACGGCTGCAGATTTCGGCCCGACCGGCTGCATTTTTGGCCCGACCGACTAACTAATTATAGCACATCTGCTTCCAGATGGCGATGGCAACCAATTTTGTTACTCTGGGTGAACTCTGGTCCAGCCACGTTGAAATGGAAGAAAGAAGATCTATTTGGGAAAAAGATAGACCACAAAGTATTGAACAAAATTCGCTTCGCCCTCCCCACATTGGAACTGGTGAAAGCATTCTACCCAGAAGCAACATCGGTGGGAGAGAAAACCTACCGAAATAAAAAATTGAGGCTTCTCGACTGGAACCTCTGTAGAGCATTGATCATGAGCCCACGGCAGGTAGCGTGTCAGTTACGAGGATCTATGGCTCAAGCGGAGCTCTTTAATAAGGCGGTGGAACCACTTAAACATACTATGCGTTCCAGAGAGCTGACGTCGGAGGCCCTTTCAACGGACGGGGAGTCTAATTATACGTCCCGAAGTAAAAGGAGACGGTGTCAATCGTCCAGCTCAGACGACGAGTACCCGGTCAGAACCGAGAAACCAATGAAGAGGAGGCGGCGAGTATTGTCTTCGAGCTCGGAGGAGGATGTCAATGAGACAAGGCTACGCCGCGTGGAAAGCATGGTCGAGAATCTTTACCACTTGGTCTCAGGAAATAAAGAGAACGATGGCAGCGTCATGAATTCGACGTGGCAAGCTCCAACTCCTACAGGTGAAGAGCTGTATGACGCCGACAGTATTGGCACATGTGGCAGCGTAAACGACTGGGACACGTTTTCCCCTGTCACTAGGGAAATCGAGCCTACAGTCCCTAGGGCGGACCCAGTAATCGAGACACAGGGCATGAAATGCCAGCGTTTCGGGGAAGAGACATGGAACAAGATTCGTTACGTGGACGCTCAGAAAAAACTCCACGCATCACCAGTCTTCAGTACTCTGAAGGTTAACTCATCCTTGTACAACAATGGACATGCAAGCCCAATGACAGATATGTTATCCAAAAGTGACCTGGCCTTCGGGACTATCTCACACGGTCTACTGAAGCAACGGAGAATCATACATGAGGCTCTGAAGGAGGCGGGGAACAAACACCCGGAAGCGGCAGACACTTTGAAAAAAGTTTTTGCTGCTAACAGTGAATACAAGACCATCTCGGACGACCTGCTGCAGTTCGTTTGCGGAAAAAGGGCGGAAATCATCGAAAGTCGCAGGAAACTATACGAGCCTAAAAGTAGTTACTATAGGTCCATCGTCAATGAGATTCCTCCGTCAGGTACGCACTTGTGGGATGAAGAGCAGCTGAAAGATGTGGTTAAAATGCATGGAGTGACGAAAATTGCTCCTGTCCGCTGGCAGAGTAATTTGGGAAAAGTCGCACTGAGACA